ACATTGCGATACTGTATGCAAACAATAGACACTGGGAACTTTTTCATAGTTGGTGACTTTAACCTACCTAATCTTGACTGGTATGAAGAGGACTCCCTAATGAAACTTGCGAATAAAGACAATTTAAAATCTCCTTATTCAAACTTGATAGATCTTATCAGTACATTAAATTGCATACAAATCAACAAATTCAAAAATAATCTACATCGAATACTCGACCTATGTATAACCAATATACCAAACACAAATATTTTTCCAGTAACAAATGCATTAGTTAATATAGATAAATATCACCCTCCCTTTTATACATTATTTACTTTAAACCAGGTAGACAAATGTCTCCCACTTAAGAAGCATATTAAGTACTGTTTTGGAAAGGCTAATTATGAACTGATTAATAATGATTTATTACAAATTAATTGGCATTCCGTATTTCATCGCAAAAGTTCGGAATTATGTACTGAGATTTTCTATAATCATATACGTGATATAATTAAAAAACATATTCCTACTAAGATTATCTCTCATTCACATTTCCCAGTCTGGTTTACCCCGGCGCTAAAACATATATTTAAAAATAAAAACACAGCATGGATAAAATGGAAAAAGTATGGGAATCGGTCTGATTATATAACATTCTCCATGTTTAGGAAAAGATTTAAAAATGAGGCCGACAAATGCTATCATAAATACATGAATAAGGTCGAGGATAGCATTAAAGATAATGTTAACTACTTTTGGACATATATGAAGCACCGCAGAAATAAATCTGATATACCCGGCACTGTCATCTATAATGGTAGTATAACTGATAAGCCAGGCGACATATGCAATATGTTCTCTAAATTTTTTCAATCAGTATTTCAATTATCTAACGAGTCAGATACCTTTGCGGTTGAAGATATATATGATCTGGATATAAATACGCAAACCGATAATATAATTAGTGATATTGTATTGAAAGAACACAATGTACTCAAGGGATTGGAAAGATTAGACACCAATAAGGGACCTGGAACTGATTGTATTCCCCCTATTTTCCTTAAGAACATTGCTTCAAGTATCTGTAAGCCATTGTGTGTACTATATAATAAATGTCTGTCTGAGGGAGTTTGTCCAAAAGTTTGGAAGTCTGCAAGAATTACACCGGTACATAAAGGAGGTTTTAAAAAAGATGTAACTAATTATAGGCCAATTTCAATTCTACCAGTTCTTTCTAAGCTCTTTGAGAGGTTAATTCATAATGAGGTGTATCCAATTCTCCACTATACTATATTACCTCAACAGCATGGTTTTGTGCATAAAAGATCTACCACCACTAACCTGTTAGCATATACAACTGATCTGTTTGAAAATATTGATGATAACAAACAAACTGACAGTGTATACACCGACTTCAAAAAAGCCTTTGACAGGGTGGATCATAGAATATTACTGGAGAAAATTGCTTTTAACGGAATCAGGGGTAATCTGTGGCGGTGGTTCAGATCATATATAACGAATCGAACGCAAAAAGTAATTATAAACGGGTATGAGTCGGACACTATTGCTATAACATCAGGCGTTCCTCAAGGCTCGATCCTCGGCCCTTTGCTCTTCGTTCTCTTCATTAATGACATAAGTAAATGTTTCAAGTACTGTAATTTCCTTCTATATGCAGATGACCTCAAAATGTATCGTATCATTAATGATGTTTCTGATCACCATAAATTTCAGGAAGATCTCGATCGATTCTCAGACTACTGTTATAATAATAAATTAGAACTTAATTTAAAAAAATGTACTAGCATTACTTTTTCTCGAAAAAAACAAGTAAGCAGGGTTACATATTATTTATGCGGTGTCAATATTGATAGTGTATCGAGTATACGGGATCTTGGGATCATCCTAGACACAAAATTATCATTAGATAGACATATCGAACATGTATGTAATAGGGCTTTTAAAATGTATAGTTGTGTTGTTCGTGCTAGTAATAATTTTAAAAGGTCAAGTACTTGTATTCTATTATATAAATCTTTAATACGTTCTCAGCTGGAATACGCCACTTCTATATGGGATCCATACTATAACAAATACTCCGATATTCTTGAGAAAGTGCAAAAGAAATTCTTACGCCATATACATTATAAATACCATCATAGTAAATTGTCCTACTGCCAACTTCTTAAGAATTACAAGATTCTCACACTTAAATCCAGAAGATTGCAATTGCACGCCATGATGTTATATGATCTTTGTCATAACAAATATGATTGCTCTGCTATAATTAATAGAATATGTTATCAGGTGCCGGTTAGACCACGCAAACGAGCATGCCGCAAACTTAAATTATTTTCTACTAAAAAATGCCGCAACAACTCTGGTAAACGCTCGCCCTTGTATCGTCTCGCCGACACATATAATAAATATTTTGTAAATATTGATATTTTCAATCATAATATGCAATCTTATAAGAAATGTATCATTGAGGAATTGGTAGCCTGAAATTAACACCGCGTCGCACTCGTATATAGTTTGAAAACTCATTCCACAAACTAAATAATGTTTGACTTTATTGTTGCTCTCAACTACTATGTGAAATGTACTTAGCTACTTGTGGTCAACGGTGTTGGTTTCACAATCACAAGATATATGTAATTAATTTGTTGCTGGTTCAAGTAATTTTATTGTGAAACTGTTTGTTGATCCAATAAAGTAAAAAAAAAAAAAAAAAAAAAAAAAAAAACTGCAAAAGAATGTAACCCACAATTGTGTTAATATTCCTGAGTAACACTAGGAACACATATAACGCGATGTAGTTGTATCAAAATACATGGACACCCAGTGAAACCCCTTACTAATAAAGTACCGGGTAATAAAAATCTATTAATTTTTTGTAACCAATTTTACATTTATCTCTTAACTTAGAACTTCAATCGATTATAAAAATCGTGTTTTTTTATTATTATTTGTATTGTTTACGTATATATTTTTTCGGGCGGAGACACACGTGTGTTCCCAGTATTAGGAAGAATAAATATCAATTCTCAACGCCACCATGTCAGCTCAACTGAAAAACCCTTATATTTTCCATTGTAGTAGATGTTATTAATTGCTATCTATATGTCATCTCGTTACTGAAAATAATTTTTGACAGTACAAAAAAGCTTAGGGTAAATTATTAAAGCGTAGTTACACTAGAAGTCGCGCTTAATACTATAAATTTATCCCTGTTGAAACATCAATAAGTATAGCTCGTAAGGAACGGTTTTGGTTTAGATAGTCCAAAAATGTTGCAATTCTGTTGTACACTCTAGACTTTAATTTCATCCTGACAAACTGCGTTTACCGTTCTGACAGCAAGTAAGGTAGGTATTGTAATTATAGTATACATGAGAGTTATATATTTTATATATGTGACTTACGAATAACATTAAAACAAACCAAAAAAATGCCTTTTTAGTTATTTTAATTTAAAGAGTGCTACAACAGAATCGGCACCAGTATCTTAAATTACAATTATCATGTCAATTGACTAAAAAAAGAAATTATAAATAGAGCTCGCCCTCAGTTTCACACATTTACTAGATAAACGGAAAGGGGCGGGCTAATATATCGCTGCCGCAGTTACATATATCCCATCCCGTTCCATTCGGCACGGATTGGTTTCATATATTTACTATGGTGTTAATCGTCTAATAGTTTGGAGTTTATATTAGAGCGTTCGTAACATTGTATGGAAAACTAGTACTTACTCGACCGCGGCGCCACGTAACTGAAGCTTATTATGTTCCACAATAAATATATGAAACCTTGCCGTGCGTAGCGTGATTAATATAATTCCAATTTAAGAGTCGTACTACCTCTAGATCGTAATGATTAGGTTAATATATGGTAAATATTATTTCAGTTCGAACGTCCCTAAAGAGCGATCGCATAACAATTTGCTATAATAAAAAAAAATTAATAGTTATTATGTACTTGGTTTCTGTTTCGTAAAAGATATGTCAATTGACTAATTTTTAATTCCAATTTTTTTATACAATTTCAAAATCTGATTTAACGATAAATCATATTTAAAATTGAGGCACCAAAATGCTCACATTTTTGAGTCGACATTTTTTAGTCTAAATTTCCCAAAATACAAGTCCTTATTTTTAAATATTTCGCCCTTTATAACTAAAACACGATCATCGACATTGGGAATATTCATACCTCGATAAATATCTACTAGTTAACATCCCTAGCAATAAAAACATGACAGTCGTTAATTAACGCTAGTAGATGAATTATACAAAATGGACAGAACGTTAGAATTCTGTGCTGTTATCTTCAAACCAATTCACTTATAAACACGTTTAGTGTATGTATGTGTATAGTATACATAAATATATATATAAGCTAAAAATTAATTTGCAAGTATTTGTAGCATATACATATCAATAATCAAATAGAGAATTACATTACAAACTACTATATTTTAAAAATTGAATGAAATTTTAGAGTAATTCTTATTTTCCTTGCCTATCCTTCACCCGTTTATATAGCAATATTAGTATAGCAGTTTATTGGAAGTAGTTACAACATGGTGTTATAAAGGTAATTTTTAAGGATTATTTTATATTGTAACAGAGAAAATATTTTCATTTTTTCTATTCACAAACTCCATAATGCACTATAGGCAGTCGCGCATTTTCCTAAGCAATTGACTTCCATAATTCCACCTTAAATTGAAGTGAAATTATGGAACTTTACTTGACCATGTTTCGTTATCTTTATCTTATATAAATTAAACACTTAATAATTAATTCGTATTCAACGAAATATTTTTGGTTACTTTCATCTTCAATATATAATGTTAATTTAATACAGTCCCAATAATTTTATAAATATTATAATAAAACGATAGAATTCAGTGAGTGTTTACAAAAGGTCAACCTTTAAAATAATCTGTTATGTGATTTCGGTTCAGAGCAGATGTAAATAAAATTGACAGACCCGAACGTTTTTAATGACAAAGTATTAAATTATTTCTGCTATAATGATTCATACAATAAAATCACCGTCTTTATAATATATTATTCATTTCAGATAAACAATAGATTAAAATCCTTGGGAATGTCGACAAATACCACAACCAAGGGCGAACTCCTCCCCGGTCGACGGATGTTGGACATGGAGAGGGCACTCGTCCGCCGAGCCCGGCAATTGTTCCCCTTTAGGACCTATTAAGATGAACATCAAATCCTCAATTATATTATCACAGTCCAGAAATTTCTAATCCCATTATATTATGAATATAGATTCTGACTGGCTAATATTGATTATATATAAATAAACACAACATTTCAGCGTAATTCACATACTCGTACTAATATAGAATAAATTAACTAAAGCAATGTGTATAGCTATATTTTTTTGCGTCGCAGCGACAGATCGTATAATTCGACGCGAAGAGCGAAATAAATATAAGATACTTTTCTTTATATACTTTAATTAAGCTTTCAAAATTTAGGCAGACACAAATAGTAGTCAGTAGGTTACGAAGTACTGTTTTGGCCATGTGTGTATTTATTTTTAAGTCAGTGATCTGATATAACGCTATTACTTACCGGCGGGGCACTGAGGCAATAGATGTTTCGGTATGTTAGTGACTCGCTGGAAATCATCGTGACAAGCGTTGCAGAAGTGAGACGTACCGAAGCAGAAGAAAACCGCAACCTGTCAAATATGAAGCCAATGTAAGTATTTTAGGTGGTATGATAGTGATATTGATTCAATGTGGTGGGTAAACGTCTTTGTATATAAAAGCTTTAGACGGTAATGAAATAGAGCTAAAAAATGTTCCGATGATAGGATGTAATACGTCTGGAGGCTTCTGTAAACAACACTTACTAGTAGTAATTTTTTGTCTAAATTAAGAGTTATTCTATAGAAATACGCAATAAAATAATTCCAAGCTGTGTATGTATGTTATGAGGGTTCCTATGTATAAAACTCTTATTAATTAACATAACACACGTCGGCTTATCCTAACTCTTTTCGGTCAAAGAGTCAGAAAATTTGGGTTTAAGTTCTTATAATTTTGTTAAAGTCATATTCGTGAAGATTATCATGCTCTCCTTCAGGTGTCATGTTAATTTGTACGAGTAGCAAAATAGAATACATATACATCATAATCTATTTTTACATTTGCTTGCTTACCGAGCAACAGTAGCGGCACTTATACTCGAGAAAGTCGGCGCCGTGTTTGGGACAAGTTCTAGCGCCCGCTATGTCACTGCACGCTCCGCACACTAGTTCAGTTGGCTCCCACCACCCGCTGGTTTCAGCTTCACATCGAGCCAATCCTCCAAAGTATGCCTACAGGACAACGATATAACAAACTTATTAGCATCAATAATTTTTGGAATATCTTTGAATTGTCATAAGTATATTTTCAATGCAGTTGCTCATAAAGCGCTATTTTTTTTAATCCATTGTAAACACCGAAAGCGAGTCTTTAAACACGTGCTTAAAAGTACTTTTTTTTTAATTTTTTTTGCCCGAGCACCAAAGAAATTTAAAAAAAATTGATGATAATATGTCAAACTTTAGAGGCAAAAGTATTTCAAGGAGCCCAAAACGAATATTTTCAAATAAAAATGTATGACACGAAACATGTTCAAATATCACGTTTAATTTTAACAAATAATTTTTACCTTTAATACAAACTTAGTTTTATTAACCTATATATTTGTTTTATTTCCTCGCAAAAAGCATTGAAAAATGTTGTAAGAAACTTGAGCGCAAAAGGTTTTTCGAATTCGTGCCAATGAAAGCCCTCGCTACGCTCGTGTTTCCAATTTGGCCCTTATTCGCAAAACCTTACTTTCCGCACTCGTATCTTAAAAAACTATTATCATATTATAGGATTCCTATTATATATAAGTAACTGACGAAAAAATATAAAAATCCATTGATTATGTAATCTGGATTTATAACTTTGTAATCTGTCTCGTTCAATAATTCAGCTATTGATGAGTTATGTTATAATGTTTAGGGTTATGAACTGTCAATGCTTAGAATTTGACAGTGACATAATATATCGTCTTTTAAAAGTAAATGTTACTTCCACGTTCTCACCTAGTTCAATCATGGACGTTAGGTTGGAAAAACACTAGGTTAAAAGCTGGCAAGAGCTATTTTGAAATTCAACCATTTATAACTAGCAGACCATGGTTTTCTGTATCCAAATATTTCTCGTTCCCTTTATGAAATTATGAAAGAAGTTCATCTTTTGGAGTATTTTGAAAACACACTCAAGTATATAAACACACAAGTACTAATTTTATAAATGTAAAAGTGCCTGTACTATCTTTTTACACTTTCGAACAAGCGTCGTTATGATATGATTATTTGTGTGGATAGTTATATATATATAGGTAAATTTTTACCGATAAAATTTACAAGTTTTACTTTTGACCACGTGACTACGACCATTAATCGGAGGTTTCAACTAGTTTATATTATATCTCGCTTGTAAAAAGGATAACTTATGGATTAAAAAGCGCTTATTTATTTTAAATACAAAGTTATTATCTTTTAGTCTCATTCTAATTCACTATTATCTTCTATATATAAATATATATTTGCAATTCTTTTGTCTAGCAAAATTTTGAAAAAGCTAGACTGATTTAGCTAATTTTACTGATACGAAGTTATACAATAAACGTAAGCTTATAGTTGCACAATTATTTTAACAAAATAAATTATATTGATCACAAAATACAAATATATCGATCATTGAAAATATAAATAAATTTAATTCTTAAATAAAACTTACCCGTTCGCATTTATGACACACATAGTAAGCATATCTTTCCATGGCGTATGTCGCGGGATCGAGTCCCGCCCGCCCGCGGGGCGCTCCCGGTACACTGACACCCTCGTACTCAAGCCGCATCAACGCCTTACGACGGACTTCGTCACGGAGCCGCCTGATAGGATCCAAGAGATCTTCCAGAGTCCAGTGGTTCATGTCCTCCTATTAAACACAAATGCACATATGTATATTAATAAGATCTGACTTTTGGTACCAGATTAAGAATCTAATGGAATTTCAGATTACAAACCTTTTTTGTTGTAAAATAATTTAACCGTTCACAAGAAGCTTATTAAGAATAAAATTATATTTTTTTATAGTCATTTTAATTACCTTGCAAATGGGGCATTGAGAAAATGAGAAAGTAATTCTCGGTCCAATCCATTTGTTAGCCAAAACTTTTTTGCAGCAGTGCAAGTGAAACACGTGGCCGCACGATAACTGTAACCAAAATATATGATAAGGTTTCAAAAAAGATAATTTTTGTTCAAAAAGAAATTCAAAGATGTCAGAAAACTATAATAATAATATTTATTAGATCACAACGAAACAAAATACAATATATGTTTTTCTTAAATCTAAGCTTATCATATAATCTACTTATTTAGTTAGCCTCTGCTGCTGAACCGAGTTCACTAAAATAAAATTATTATATAAGAATGCTAGTGCCATCTTATAACTGTCATCGACAACAAGATCTGCTTCAACTACAACGACGTTTCACCTCAGTAAAGTGGTGTCATAAGTTTACCCACACTTACCTGTATAGAGGGTGCGGCCTGTAGTGGATCAGTGAAGCATATCATACACATATCATCGGCGTCCTGTCTCAACGGCGCCCCATCTCTGCCGCACCCGAACAGACAGGGCAGACATTGCGGCTCACACCGTACACCGCCACACATGTGACCGCAACCCAATACCCGGTTGCAAGCTTCGCGACCGTGCTCCTGCGCAGATCATCATAGGCATAATATAGTCATGTACAGTACCAGACACGAAAGAAAAACCTTGAGCAGAAACGAAAAAAAATATATGATTGAACCGGCTTAAAAAGCTTTAATAATAATAAGCCAGTAAGAAATGGAACCGTATAGCAAAAAGAATATTTCGAATTGATTTCTCGTTTTTCAGTACTTATAAAATTTTAGAGAAAAGATTTTGGCCATTTCTGTAATTTTTATTACTCATACCCTATAGGGTATGGTCCAATAGTTTTTTGATACCCATATACAATTTACAATCGCAAGTTAAGGGGGAGGGGTCTCCTATACACGTTTTAATGTAACTAATCTCACCTGACACTGCTGATCGGCGCACACGTTGCCTATAGCTAACAATCCTGTACTGCCCCTCGCGCCACAGAATCTGCAAGTTCCAGCGAAACCAGTCTCCCCCAACGCAGTTTCCTCTACTGCGTCCATACCCCTGAACTCGGCCAAAGCCTTCAGCGTACGCCGATCAACTAACAACAGGAGCCAGAACAACTTCGCGCGACCGCAACCTTCATGGATATCCACTCGTATCGCACTCTCCTCTTCCTTGCAAATCTGTTTGAAATTTATTAATAAACATAAACTAGGAGATTTTAGCATAACACTATTAATATCTCCTCTATTTATTTATATCTTTTTTCTTTCAATACGGCCGCCTTTTATCTATTCTCTTTTTTCCGACTTCTGGCTTAGAAACAAAGCTTGAGAACGATTCGAAAGTACCGGTCAATAAAGATTTTATTAAACATGTTTTTCGAATATGCTTGCTCGGAGCGGAATCATTTAGCGAGCATTATAAACAGTAGGTTTATACTGCTTAGTTTCATCTAAAATGGCGATAAAGCTGCTTGGAATGTCGTCTTTTACGAGATTAAAAAAAAATATAAACTGCTTTTCATAGTCCTAAAATAGAGAAAAGACAGAGAAAACCATCGATCAATATATGGAGTTTCGTACGATGTTGTCTGAGGTTTTCGAGCCCTGCTCAGAAAGCATACAGACAAGATTTTTACGTAAAGTGAAATGCATATGGGTGGTTTGCCAATTGGTTTAAGCAGTATCGCCTTTATTAAAAGAGTGTGATCGGTATCAATGATGATGGCTTTAACTATTGTGACTGCAAAATGGAATATTGTATACGTCATATTTATATTTATTATCTTTTAAACAATTAAAAAATAATTTATATTTATATATTGGTGGCTTGATGATGTGACTATTTTATCGTGACTACTGACTATATAGTGAATAAGTTTTCACAGTACAGTACAGATTATATAGCTATTATACCAGCACTAAACCTATCTCAACATCTATCGTTGGCAGCGTGATGTTATGACCTTTGATTCAAAGAAAAGGGAAGATATGGGACTAACGCCTCACATATGGCAACTGCAAATTATCATAGATACATCGTGCACACTCATGCAATATACATATAAAAATTCAATGGCGCAAAATTTAACTTTTATCAACCTCATCAATTGTTATTCGTAACTAAACAAATAAAATTTTATTTATAAAAGCAAAAAAATTAAATGTATAAAATTTACGTGTAAAGTATAAAAAGTATATACAGGTTGATCTCCATCAATTTTCCTGTCTTGCATGAGCATGAGCTAATATTGAATCTCAACGCTTCTCCCTCGCTTGAGTATTTTTTGTATCTTCCCTTATCATTTTAAATCAAAGACCCATTAACAAGTCCCATTAACACGTGGGCATAAATTACTTGTCTTTGGTGCGTTTTAGCGGCCCGTTTGAGATGTAAGAAACGATCGCATTCGCCGCACAGTGGGCCACAAGTGCGACACTCTATCACAGCCGCTGTCGCACCGTCGTCGTGATTGGAACAGAACGGACGCGCTTCCACCTCGCGACGAGATTCACGGCCTTCTGCACTCCCATTGATACTGTACACAATATTGTTTATTAGAAAAATATTTATGAGGAATAATTTGAATTTAAAAAACTCAACTAAAACAAGCAGTCAATTGAACGCCTTTATAAATTTTTCCTATATTATACAGGAAAAAATTTTAGTCAGTTCCCCCTTTTTTAACCAGCTAACATTGGCGATAAAAACGATTCCCAATCTGGGCGACTGCTCTAATCACTGAGCCATGGACAAAGTGGATTTTTTAAGCATTTTTCATTAACATAATATATTATTAATTTTAATATGATATATATAATTAAAAAAACTTCGTAAATATGTTCTAATAGCGACATCAAAACAATAGAAAACAAATTGTACACTGACTATAACTTTTCCCACCTCCCCTGTCAGATTTCCATAAGTAGCCTCTTTTTTGTCCGACGTACGCTATCAAACAGCTGTCAGTATGGTTCTATTTAAAAGACACTTCGTCTTGTAAAGGATTAAAAACACGGGTACGTGACAGGTGTTTACTCACAGATCGAGGTGTTCCTGTGAGCAGACGCACAAAGAGGCCAATGTGAGCCACATAGCGGGCGCGGCTATACAACGCGTCGGTCTCCTGTCCGCCTCCGCCACTTGAGCTATCTGACTCACGTACGCTGCGAGACCACTTCGTGTCTCCAAACCCCACGATTCTGACACCTTGTCCTTTATAGGTATTATAAACACATAAATTTTGATACTAATTTTTGTTTTGCTGTTAACGACAGTGTAACTTTTTAATTACTCTTAAGACATGTCTTTGGTATGAATTCTTCATGGTACACAAAAGTTATTCAAGATGACAAAAGTCTTCGACCTCATTTAATTTGTGTTAATATATTCAGTTAGTACATACAGTTTTTTCTAGGTTCAGGCTGTATGATTTTGTTGTGGATTACTTTAAAATGTCCGAACTAGATAAAGTTAAGGCTGAAATAATCGAATATTCACTTTCAATTGACACTCGCACCTCTTTTTTATTCAAAGACGAATAAAATCATTTGAATAGATAAATACATGAATTTATAATGGGATGTAAGAGCTAAACATATAATAAAAAAATAAAATGGAAAACAACTGAAAACGTGAAATAATATGGAGGTTTTAAATCATAGAAAAATATATACAACTTTTATCGCCACCGCTAACTACTGGCATTCAGAGACAACGTAAACAAAACGAATAATTTTAAATAATAGCTCTTACTTCGGCCATGTCAGTCAACAGCTTGGCCACCAAATGCGCATGTTTCTTGGTGGTTTCTCCGCGCATGAACCAGGCTGCGGGCGGCGGGGCGATCACGCTGCTGCCCATCGTTACTGTCGAAGGGCTACTACTACCAGCACCCTTCACTTTCACCTGCACTGTGATCGCTTTGCCCAGGTAACTCACTAAATGATCCAACAGCGTGATCCTACAATAACATGTAAATTTATTTATGAATCTTTCAATGCAATGTGTAACACAAAAACATATATTACAACTAATGCTTGTAAAAAGTTTAAAAAAAATTAGACGTTGCATTTTAAACATTAAAGATTCTTTTATATATTCACGTCCTATGGATTAATGAGATTCCATGTTTAGTTAAAGACATCGGTATTATGAATCTATGTGTAACAATGAAGGTACGACCTTCATTGTTACATATATTTATAATACTCACTCAAATTCAAGATAAAACAAAGACCTCAATTACTATATTGACGCGGTCTATAATTGAATCTGTAATCACAAATATGGGGAAAGGGCGAATTATGATTAATACAAAACAAGTTATTGATAGAGTATAGTTTTTAGACACTTATAAATATGATAGTAACACAATACCTTGTACTAAGATTGTTGCCGTAATTGATTGCTATCAGAGCCTTTTGTGGTTTAATTTCTGATATCATTCTTCTAAGCAACGAAATAACCTGTGATAAAATTGATAATATAAATAACATAAGAGTGAAAATATCAGATGGCGGTGGACATTAATATTTCATAATTTGGTTTTTTATAAAATAAAACATTCCTGATGACGATTGAATTTCGCAGTAAACACCAGGTTTCGCAGAGACGTAATAACTTGCAATGATGTCATTATATAAAAACTTCTGAATCAAGGTGGAATATTTTCTAATATTGTGTAGATTCTGTTGGGAATCGTTAAGAAAAAGACTCTTAGCTCGTTACACACTTAACTAAACATTTGAATCTTGATCACGGAAAAACCAATTTTTAATTATTTTTGACTTGTTTGTTCCGAGTACAGCAGAATCACTATTAAATTACCTATACGAAATTTTATAGAGCAAAGTCCAACAAATTTTGCTAATTCCACCTCAACGGTCCCGCCCACTGTCAATTCAGCTGAGCAATTCTTTTAGTAATGTCAGTAACATTGGTTCTCCTACGGATTTCTTCGTTCCTATCCTACACGTTCGATCTCGTAGAAAAACACAAAACATTGTCCTCTCCGTTGCCTGCTGGGTAACTTTGAGCATACTTATGAAACCTATAGTGAACGACCATGTCTTGCTTTCATAAACTATAACTGGCATACACACACTGGCCGTAGTTTTTTGTCGATACAGATACTACTTTATTCAGCTAGTATTTGATACTTGAACTTGCCTGTCTCTGTACTCGCTCGCTGCCCGTGTGTAAGAGTGCCAACAGATCAGCGAGTAATTCTGTACGTTGTGCGAGATGTGCGCAACCTACTGCACTGCCGCTCAACGCTAGTAGCTGTATACAAATTAATTGTTTTTATATTGACGCTATATTACAATTCACAGTAGCTAAAAATAATAAAAAAATAACATTTGACATGTAAATTATTTGAACATTATTAGAATAAAAAGGAAGTGAAATAAAAAAGGAGACATTGCATGCCATAATTTTATTGTAAATTCATTCATCTTCTATCTTCCAAACCCCATTTTTTATCATATTTAGGTACAGAAATAAGTCTCCATTCGCACATCTACAGATAAATTAGTAAGGAATATTTGGTGTGAGTACAATTCGTTAGTATTTTTGGAACATTATATATTATACCCATACGAAACCGGCAACTAGCTGGAGAAATATAAAAATAACTACTATCAAAGTGTTTACAATCATTGCATCTCACCAGTGACAACATTTCGAAGCAGTAGTTATCTTGCGCGTGCGCGTGCGTGGTTGGACGTAACGCGTCATCGTGTCTCTCGGCCGCTTCTGCGCACAATAGGACTGTCTCCCAGTCGTCGCGCACTCGCGCCGCTTCATGCCCAATAGCGTACACGATGTGTGACATCACCTTAAAACCACGAAATTATTATTGATTATTGCACCACAGAAAACATTTTTTTAATTTGCTTCTAAGATTAATCTATACTAATATTATAAAGAGAAAAGATTTGATTGTTTGTATGTTTGCATCGAATAGGCATCGAAACTACTGGACCAATTTTAAAAATTCTTTCACCCTCAGGTTATTGCAAGAGATAATACAAACCTGTCTTTGCAACGAAGTGAGTTTGTGTCCAGCGAACAGAATGCCGACAACGTGTTCCCGTAGATCAGTGTCGTTGGTGACGCCATCATCCGCAGCCGCTGCTCCATCCCCTGACTCGATACTACTCCTTTCCCATTCCAGTAGCTTACCAAACACCTAAGGACATAATTTATTAATCAATATATATCGAATACTTAATTAAATTTTAATTAATTTAATCTTTTACTCTATGCATCTGTTTTGTGTATAGAGTTAAGGTTTTATGTACATATCACAATGACGTCATGATTATGACGGACAGCGTTTTCGCGTGTATAAGAAAGATTTAAATTTTAATTTAATTTAAAGGTAATAAAACGTGTTTGTTTTATTTTATATTTTATTAAAATAAACGTTTGTAAGTATTATTTCAAACATAGTAGAATACCCTATAGTGGTGTGTACCTGTGAGGTTAGCAGACGGAACACTCGCAGCGCATCAGCCTCGGCGACGGCGTGTAAGACGCGCGTCGGTCCCACGGCGGCTGACATCACCGGCGTTGGCGCAGCCAGAACGCGTACTTGACGCACTCGCACTGCAGGCTCCGCGCCGCGCAACTCGCATCTCACGCGTACACACGTACTCAACACCCCTGTCATACATACATACATACACACACGCTCATCATAATCGTGCTCTTCGCCATCGTAACGTTCGCCTTTAGAGCACCGACGCAATCGCATACAAATGCGAAACATTTGCGAAATCTTGTCAGTTGTATGGCAATGTTTTGCATGTGCTTTGTCTCTCCCTCTCTATAATTAGCTCGATGAAATAGCTGCGTCCTTGTACGTACGGTTTTGCAGTGAATTGTAAAAAACGTGGTATATATATGCATCTGTGTACGCATATGTTTCGTATTCAGGGTTGCTGCCACTCCCGATATTATGGCGTAAAATGATAAATATAATTTCATGTCATTTTGTTCTCAAAAAGGGACAACCTTGTTCGTATTCACAATAGTTAAGTTGATGTTTCGCATTCGCATGAAATTGCGTAGATATATTAACAGTGTAATTATTTCAACGTTTTTTTGCACTCGTAGTATGACAAATTCGAGAAACGCTCTGCCTACACCAAACGCCACTTTGGTCACATAAACGCGCACCAGAGAAAAGTGACATTTGGGTGTAGACAAAACGTTCTCGAGTTCATCATGCTAAATATGTTGGAGACGATTATACCACGTCGTCACGACAATGTTTTTAGTGGTTTAAATTTTATTCAAAAAATCATGAAATAAATTTAGCCATGATAATACAGTATCATGGGTATAGTAAACTATATCCAGTCCCTCACAAAGTTATTCTTTGTAAAATGTAAGTATAAGAAATTCAAACGCTGTATCACCTCTACATACAGTATCTTTGATACGTTGTTAGCAGTGTGCCACGGTGTGATAGAAAGAATTTAAAACAGACACATATTATAAATGAGTATTTTGGAATTGAATAAGAATTTAATCGTTTTCATGATAAACAAGAACCGATACTCAATTGTTTAGTAAATATAAAATAACCTACTCGGTAAGGTATAGCACAACCAGCTTGCCGTTTTCGGATCCACCTCTATATCTTGCATATGTGTAAGTTCACCAGAGCCACTGCTATATAAGAACGACGCAAGCATCGTCTTGTTCTGTGAAAATATGGATATATATCATTACTTAATTATATCAATCTCAAGCATCTTTATAATGCTAAATTTCTTATAATATTACGTAAGATTATGTCGAATGTCATTATATGGAAGAATTATCGCATTCTTATTTAATTCTTTATACATAGACAGCGAAAACAACATTTGGACGAAAATTACTTAACCATACAGTTTTATTTATTATTTCAAACTTTTATCAAAATATATTGTGTCTTTAATGAAACATATTTCTAATAAAACCATTTTTTGTAAAATCAATATGATGAATCAAACTTTTTGATTTACAATAATCAGTACGTTTATACTTTCTATGTCTCTAAGATTTATTTTTCATTTAACCAGTACTCACAACAGTGTCTCTGGTGTTATCCAAGTGTACACATATAATGTGTGGTCTATCTTCAGTAGTGCCGCCCGGGTATGTAACCTCGACCCAGCGGGCCTTGTTCCTGTCCTCATCACCACTCTCCCAAAACGTTTCTGTACTACCATCTGTTAAAGCACCGGCCATGCCCTGCCTTGATGACACCGTGATGTCGCACCAACTCGTCACGTCAGGACAACTCCATACGTAATTCTCCTATAGTATTTATAATTTATTGAATTAATTACAGACTGAATAGGCAGGTTTTTTTTACAAAACTCGACTCGACTTGAAATGGTAAACTATAATAGTATTTTGTTACAAACTGATCATGATGAATGTCAAATATAAGTTGGCACTCTGATTAGAATTAGATGACGTAAGAAATAGAGGAGTAACATTACCTCAAATATTGTGTTAATCAAAATACGATAAAAAGAACCATAAAATAACTATACATTTTAATCTGTTGGCCTACGACGACGTTTTAGAATTATATCCGTTGTTTTCTACTAGGGATGTCATTCCATTTTAAATCATTGTGTTGTCATATACTACCTTGTTACTATAACTGTGGAAGCTTTCGTGTAAAGCACCAAGCAACCCTTCGTCGTAAGCATCGTCTTCTGGATGGGACAATACTTTGCTGATCACACTAAAAACTTGCGATCTAATCCAGGCAGCGTTAACAATGTACCAAAAAAATACTATTAGAAAAGTTTCGATACTCATTTCCGTCAATGAAACAGAGGCAACCCGGTTCAGATCTAGATCTAGGGATGAGTAAGTGGGGGCACTTATCCCATAATATAATATAGTTCATAAAATCTCTTTTAAAAATCCTACACATTAGGCTACGATGGGACGGACATGTTTTCAAAGTCCCTCAATGAAATAAAAAAAAAAACATATGCTGCAACCTACTACGGTAATATGTCATATTAGTCAGTCATTATGTCAGTGCTACAAAACTTGAACCAAACTCCATACTATAAGTTCCGATTCTTCTTTAAATAAACTAAATTTAGCATTCTTAACTATTGAAAGCATTAAGGATTAATATTTTTTAACACTTCAGTCGTTTCACACGATATATGCAACATCAGTAGGACGAGAGACAGACAACAGAGATAATCATCAAAAGTATAATTTTGTGACTCTTGAACTTGAATAATTAAATTAAATGATGACGATCTAATTAAGTTTTACGAATACCTCAAATACTTCTCAAGAAATTTCTAGCAGTTCTCTTCCTATATTCCACTTCGAATATCACACTGTATATGAGTGTATGTTTTACAATATGTAAGCATGCAGTTGCAGATAAAACGAGAGTTCACCTGTGTAAGAAAGCTCGGTCGTAAGGTGAATAGTGCAAAGCCCAGCATCGTATAGCTTGCAATCCGGACGCACTTGCGGGCGGCAAGGATGGAGCCAGGGTGCTGACTGAGCCAAGGAACGCATGGAACGCTGTTCTGGCACCGCGTACAGAATTCCCGCCGGGACATATCGATGAAGCCGCGGGAAATTTCATTACAGCTCTATTGTTATCGTTCGCCGACGCCTACCGGTACATTTGACATTATTATCCGTATGAAAAGCACGAATTATATGTTTTATATGCTACTATAGAATTTTAATACATACTAACAAAAGTCGACGCCAATGTTGATTAAAGTAATAAAATTAATGGAAGTGTATTGGTTAAGTGGCTTTAAAGGTTTTATAGTAGCGTGGAAATTAAATTAGTTGTCTGTTATACCTCCTTGTTGTCGTCTAGCGCGGGAGGCGGAGGCACTGTACGCGCATACTTATCGAGTGCGCTACAAAACCACCACATCACGTCATGCACGCACGTTGGCTGCGTTGTGGACCGCAACAACCAGTTCAGCGCCTATCATATCCCATTATTTAATAATATATAACATATTAATAACTACTAATTCGTATTTAACAAAGAGAAACGAAAGATAGTTGCTTCACGTCTAATCTAGGATTTCGTATTTCACAAAGAGAAACTAAAGAACTAATAATAGTCTCCTCACGTCTTATCTAGGAATACAAAAATTGGCTTAAAAATCTCAACACTATTCATATAATGAACCATGGATTTGGTTCTTTTTGTTTTTACAATGCTTTTTGTTACATATGTTTACTTGTTACAGAGAAAATTTAGAATTTATAAATTCACTCACTCTGTTTCAGTATTTATAATAAATCAGACAACGACCTCGGTGACTCGATTGCAAGGATTCGAAGACTATTTATCGCTCAGTTTATATTAATATAGAACGATGTTTTAATCTTAACACTTAAATTCAAATGTCTGTTTAAAGTGGTTACATAGAAATAAGACTTTTAAACAGAAATTTTATGAACGACCCAACGAGCCAACTATATATAATCTATATAATATTACAAAGATAAAAGATTTGATTGTATGTTTGTTTATATCGAATAAAAATTGTTTCACCTTCGTTAAACTACATCATATGTGGTGGACATAGGCTATATTTTATATCAAAAAACAGCAAATATGGGGATGAAAATGGGAGGGGAAGATTGTCTATAGGGAATTTAAACGTTTCCATAGTAACCATTTCACTATTTAATTTGTCATGATATGAATCTATGCCTGTATTAACTATGGGCTACTTTACATCCCACTAAACAGTTACTTAGGGACGTGAAGCAGGTGGCGGAAAGCTAGTCATAATAATAAAACGGTGGCTTACTTCAAACGCGTATTGGCGCACTGTATTGATGCGTACAGCGCCGTCCAACTTCTGCGTGTACGCGTGCAGATCACGTCGCGCCAGCACGAACGCGAGCACCGGCCGACGAGCGAGCGCGTCCGCGGACACGTGCGGCGGTTCAAACGCTGACACTGCGCCGGCACTCTCGCCGGCGCCGACTAGTTTGCGAAGCGACGCACTCGGCTGCGATAGGAGCGACGACCCTACACCTATACCGTGGCATGCAAAATAAAATCACACTCCCATTTTGAATCCCGAGCTCACAAGGACTTGAATATTTTAAACTGGTATAACGAAACTAATCTAGTTCTGCGAAATTACGGGCGTTTTACAAATAACTCTGTATACATTTCAACTTTACGTGTTTATCATGTCAAACAAAGCAGCTTTTCAGTCAGTTTTTATGAAGTACGTCTATTTAATTCAATAGAGATCACAAAATAATGTACATTACTTTTATATGGAAAAAATATTCATTTTAGTCTGCTTTTGTGAGTCAAACGTCATGCATGAGCATATTCTCCGATGGTCGTCGTAGGAACAGAGGCCCCGCTTCTGTTCATTAGAGAGATGGCAAAGTTCTCTGGATTTATGTTGATAGCTACATATAGACAAGATTTTTCATAAGTGAAAATAGCGATATGAGAGAAGTCATTATTACGGACACTTTCGATGACTTATTATGTCATATTATAAATATCGACGCAGCCATAATTGATTCTATTGTATATATAAACAGAATATCTAAAACGGCGTAAGTACCTGAGAGCGAGTCTTCTGTTAGATGGAAGTCGACCGCAGCAAGGGGCGCATTTATCCTCCTCGCCGCTGTAGCAAGATCACGAGTTCCTGTCTGTCCCATCGATACGGAGCGCTGAACCCGCGGTGGTTGATCGCGAGCTTCCTCTGCATCCCTCGGCTCCTATACACATTGACATAAACGTATTTATTACTCAATGTCGTGGATAAAAGTTGTTTCACTTGAGCTGCATATTAATTTACACAAAAAAAAAGTCTATCCATTGGCATAAAATATTAAAATATTACATCGCAACCATTATTCAGATTAAAAGATGAGAAGGGTATTATGGGAGAATCTGAAATAATTAAGGTACCATAAAGCATTATATACAAGCATTACAACTTGCGCATTTTTTTTAAACAAAATAATATTTTAAACCTTGTATATGACTCTCACCAGCCGCTGATATATCAAATATATCAAACAGCCGGCATGACGACCTTATCATCGTAGTTTATTTGCAATTTAACTAAATATGTGTCATCTGAAACATGATTACATGTTTTTTCGTGATTTAGATATAAATGATAAACTGGCTCTACACATCCCTGCAGTATACTGACCATTGCTGAGGGCAGTGGTAGGGGGCGGCCCAGCGAGTGGTATCTAGTAGTATCGGGCGTTGTATTAGATTTCGGTGCGAGCCCTAAAGCTGGCAAACACTGGAAAGGTGGAGCGGGCTGCCACAGACTACCAGGCGGTGTAGGTGGACTACGCGCCTGCCCTTCGTGGATGGGCGACATTCGCCCAAGCGATTCTGTTGGATTATGGCACTTTTATACAGGGTCAGGTTTTAGTGTGTGCGGATTCAGATCATAGTTATTTACAAAGAAAATATATTATTTTCATTATCCTCAATAAGCGGTATATTATAAAGTAAAAATTAAATAATCATGCTTACCAGAGTTGGTGAGAGGAGCTAAGTCTAATAGAAATACTGCATTTTCTTTGATAATATGGTGATCGATTTCCGATGGCGCACGCTCATAGGAAACCTCCGATATAGTTTTTGTCTTGGGTTGTTTCACCGAAGAAGCAGCCTTCAGAGCTTTCTCGCGACACTTTTCACAAAATGTATACCAGAGTTGGCAACCTGTACGGAAAAACATAAAGTTAATTAACTCACACATAATAATGAATGACATATGTATTTGTGTAATGGCATACTCTTTATCACCTACTAGTTTTGTTCCTGCGACTTCGCCCGTGTAAATTATAGTCTATGTCACCCGCATATTAATTAGCTTCCCGTAGATGAAACAATCTTAAAAAAACACCCAGCAGTTTGAGAACCTATCGATGCAAACATACTAACAATCAAGTCACTAGTAGGCGTGTCGCATAACCACAAGCCAGGGATAATGAGAGCGAGCGTTACAGTGACCTTGAGCTAGTTGCCCGCAAGCGGCGAGCGGTGCGTCAGCGGTCGCTGGCGCGGGTGCAGCGATGTCCGCCCGCCTGTAGACGCCGGAGCGGTCGTAGCCGCGCGACGTCGGCACTCGACACCCGGGATGAGCGTGACGCATGTGAGCAGCCAGCGGTGGCGGGACACCGGCACCACCGCACAACTCGCAACTCACTTCACACGATACAAAAGATAAAATCAAATTCTATATAATCTTAATATTTAACAGTTCTTTACAAGTTGTATATTAACTAATAAGTGGTAATATATTATTAATGATGATAATTAATATAACATCAAAAATAGTAAATAAGATAAACATATCATGTTTATTTGTGATATGTTACTTGTGCATAATAGCATTTAAGAGCATTTTACATTCAAGTTACATTAAAACAAAGATAATTTTTCTTTGGTTTTTATTGCTATAATGAATTTTATTACAAGCAAAGAATATAATGCATTTTAAAAAGCTTTATTACATTGAATTAGATATATTTTTATATGTTACGACTGTAATGGGTAAAAGTGACCATAATTAACTTGATTCTAATGAAATTTAGCAAAAAAAACCTATATTAGAAGAAAAACATACTCCTTTGTACGTTAATTATGTTACAGATTGTATGTTAAATGTTATTTTTCTAGGAAAATATTTATCATCGTCACCCTATTAAGTTACAACTATTGATCGAAGGTCTTCACGTGATAAAATTACAAAGGCAGAATGGGTTATAAACTCACCACACGGTTTATAAAAGGTTACATACAGTGAAGGATTACTAATATGATAAACCAAATCAAAATATTTACCTGAATACGGTGTTTTCGATATTGACCTCCAAACTTTCTTTTGACGGACTTTTATCATTGGTCGGGGATCGTCATTGTCTATTTTATCACCAGCATCTTTCTTCGTTCTGTCAAATATTATTTACGTAAATATAAACTTATAAAACGAGAGTTATAAAAATAAAAAAAGGATATACATAATCTTACTTTTCAGGTGTAATATTAAGTTGTTTTGCTTCGCATAGCGCATCCCATAATGCTACGAGAGCGCGTAAAGCTGGCGGTAAAACGTTGACTACCGACGGCGTAGACTCTATTGAAAAGAAGTGGATAAGTATGAAATGTTATTATTAAAAGATATTATAAGAAACATGCTAGATAAAATATATTAATGAAAAACTGCAAATACTGATTTTATTAAAATGACAACATCGCAAAAGTTTGATAATATAAACATGTTTTCGAACTGCAGAGATACCTACACTATCCAACATAATCTAATACAAAAAATATTTACTCATATCAACTGCACACAATAAATATACATTAAACTCAAAATGTCCTTTCACGTACCTTCAGCGGCATCTTCCTCGTTTATGGGTGCGTGCGTGTCTAGATCATTTTTACGTGTCCGACTAGCAGTGGCCTCTTCCCCAGACCGCGTCAATGTCTCCAATGTCGATGGCTGGATACTTAAATATTGTCCTATTGTAACAATATACAACGGGAGATATTATCTTTTAATCGATCTTCGGTTAATTACATGGACTGTTCTGCTACTATAATCGTCTGTCATGCTCTAACTTACGTATTTTTAATGTCATACATACAATTTAGCTTTAAATTATATAAATTAATCATTGGACGACAAAATTCCAAACATCACAAGATTGTTTTCGAATTCGTGCCGCAAAAATGGCAAAAGTGTGACGAACACGTACAAAAAATTGAGAACATGACATGAAATTGTTAATTGTAAATCTAGCAAATGAGTCAGATTCTGAGGAGTATATGGAAATTGCAGACATTTCTAGTAATGAAGAAGAAGATATCGATTAATTTTGTTCTATAACGAAAATATATATATTTAGTTTGTTTATTGAGAAAGGGTAATTTTCTCATAAAACTGTATCGTAAACAATAAAATTTGATAAACGCTTTCAAATATAAATTTATTTTTGTTTAACTAGAAAATAAAAAATATTACAATATAAATACCGCCATTGCGTTGATTAAAATAGATTCTAACATTTTATTAAATACCTCATATCTTGTCAATCGTGCCCTCCCTCGTTTCACCGCCCACATATCTCAGGCGGTGACTAGCATTTCTGCGCTCACTATAGTTTACCATATTTGAAAGTTTATGGTGGTGATAAATATAACAACACTTTTTTTTTTTCAAATAATTTCATTAACTTATAAATTATTGTACACAGTAACATATCACGTTAACACGCCCTAATTAAGTGGGAAAGCGCCACATAACCTATCGTACCGCGCTGGGAAGGAGTATGTTAGCAGTAGCGTTACGCATTTTTCATATAATGTTTTAACCCAAACGTTTACTAGACAATTTCGATTTACACTTATTTAAATACAAATCTCTACTTAGACCCTAAAATGGTGGCGATTGATTAGATAAATAAGCTTCATAAAATATATATATAAGTATAGAACTTACCAGCATTGGATACTTCGACGGAGTGCCGTTGATGTCTTGCGGTTTGATCGCTAGCGGCGCGGGTAACAACGCGCGCGCCTTGCTTCGGCAACTGCGGATGGAATTTCAGGAACGCAGCGCACGCAATCGCATCGTGCACTATGCCTAATAGTACAAGAGCTCATGAACAAATTTGCAAGTTTTTATAACAGATGATACTTCAGTATATGGGAGGATAGTCAGAAAACTGCTAAATTCTGTCTCGAGCTCGAGAATAGAGATATAGTATATGCAAGCTATATGTGAGGTATTTTACCATGTAAAACAACGAGTTAAGAAGAATAACGTTTTATTATTAGACATGTCATACCCGTACATTATTACGTTATAAAAACAGCGTAAACTTTATTGATAAATACTTTACTCTTTGCTTTATTATGTCAACCGCTTATCCTTATTGGCACTGCCCTAGTCTTAGAACATGATGCACGAAAAGATGGCCACGTTCAATGACGTCTTGTTTTTATTAAAATAAGTTCAGTATTTACGCATGAAATGATATCTTTTTTTGTTTATCTCGTTGTCAATGTGTAATTTGTGCATCGTTTAAACATTTGTTCTTTATATTTTCACTGATAATTACGTATACAAATGACATAAGCCACAACGCTTGCTGAAACGTGACTAAAAGAAACTCAGGCGATTGTCTTGCTTTTTTGTTGTCAATATTGCGCGCATATAACTCATCTAAACTTTTATAAACATCATTGGTTAGAAAACATACCTTCATGCCAGAGCAAGGCAGCGAATATAGCCCGCAAACATTCCGCTTGTGCAGGACTAAAAGCGTGCTTTCTAGGAGGAGGTGGAGCGGCTCGAGCGGGTAATGGTGGTGGCGAGTTAGCACGTTTGTACGCCACGCGTGCACGTCGTGGAAATCTATCTCGTACTACACTTCGTGGAGCCTGTCGGGTTTCCTGCGAAAGTCTTACATATTTAGGAATATTTACTTACCAGACGATATATTCAAAATTAACAATTAACACATAATATAATATAGCTTATATTATAAGAAATCACACTGCTCAAATTCAAAATCATTTATTCAACCTAGCTGGGCTCTTACGAGAAACTGTCAATGTTGAACAATCACGGTCATTTCATTTCTTTTATATTGAAAAATTCAACAGAATTTTTAATATTACAATGCCGAACCCTTAATTCCGTATTGAATATATATGATATTGTTTAAATCTTATATCAATATAATATGCTATTTAAAGGATCTGGCATTTAGAGAATCTGATATTCATTCTGACCTTTTAACACTCTTGACATTTACTGAAATTAATATTATTAAATCATCAAATTATTTATGTTATTTTGTCTAAATACTATAAAAAACTTACACTTATTTTTCGCAAATACAGATACGGCAAACCATTTATTACTTTCTCATATTTCAACAAGCACTGTAAAAAAACATTTTATATTGTAGCTTGTCAAATGATTTGAGTCATTTACAAGACTGACGAACCTTTTTCTTTGTGACTCACAGTAAACGTCACATTAGACCATATTTTATGAAAGGGATGGTAAAAACTATACTTAAAGAAAAAGAAACAAAAAAAAAGTATTAAAAAAAGTTCTTTATTAAAGGATGCTTATCAAAAATCGATTTTTTGAAAATCTTCAATGAAAATTTTAACAGTTTGGTTTAAGGGACAATTAAAAGAATAACAAAAATTAATAGCGGGTGTTGCCACCTCTGGCTCTTATGACTTCTAGGAGCCGGTTTGTCAATCTATCCATGATGTCTTGAATGTATTGATCTGCACTGCGGGTGGGTGTATAAGCCTGTCTCCCGAAATCGACTGATGGCATCTCATACCTTAGAGGTATACCGAGTGTGCGAGCGATGCGACGCTGACTATACCCCCCATCAGCTAAAGCCACTGCCCTATCTACATCAGTTGCATCGAGTGGCATTTTTTGTAATCACAAGCAATGAACAAACACAACACAGTAACAACATTGTAAAACGACTAAATTCCGAAAACCCTTCGGTGACACAAATTTAGGAAAGAAAATAATGGAACAAGTGTTTTATTTATTGCTTGAGTACCCATTCAAAAAAAAAACAGTTGATAAGCTATAGACGACGGAAGCAAACAGGATGATGAATGATACAGGTGGGCAGTTAATTGTGCCTGTGAGTGTAGTTATATCAAATGGACATAAGGATTTTTTATTAACTGTAAATTACTTTCGGATATGAGAATTAATAAAAATTAAATTTATTTATTCTGATGCCAATTACAGACCAATGCTAATATGGGATCTATATGATTTAAAATATAAAAATAGATAAAACTGGACCGAAAGATAAGCGAACGTCCCTATCTATGTCACTGAGCTGGATAGAGACCGAGGATGCCCAATTGAGCGTAAAAAAGTCTGAAATTTATTACTCACAAACCATTACGATTATTGTACAAGTCTTAAATCACATATAGCCCTCGATTACAAACTGACTCGAATGAATTTTTCTCTATAAAAAAAGAGATTATGATTCTTTCAATCGATAACGATATCCTTAAAAATATGATTTATTTATCACATTTTTAATTTATAGATAAAATTTTTGATTTGCTGCTTATTTGGACGTTATTTCTTACGAAACCAAATACCAAAACCAAGCCAAACAGAATGTCATTTTCAGAAGATCAGACATGTCCTTAATTCATCTTTCTCTTGGTGTGCTTACCTTTGAGTTTAAATACAAATGTATGGCGGTAGCGTCATCCTCGGGTGAGGTCTGAGTGCCAGCCTGTGCTAGTCGTGTTCCCTTCGACTCGGGTTCGACTTCCGTCTACAATAATAGAGAATATGTGTGATGTTATTAATTCTACAAACTACGGCTATCTCTTCCTCGGTATCGGTCAATATGGACACAAGTTGAATATTAGAGTTCAAAGTTAAAATATACAATATATTTTAGCTTTGAACTCGTTTTGAATTCGAATCTTCAGTGATGATTCAATTATTGCAGAACGAATACAAATAAATCGTATGAAAAACATTCATCAATCATATGTGTTTATTCTGCTCGAAGGACCAGATGTAAAAATAAACGAAAGATAATACTTTTTAGTTTCTTGTTGATGTAGAAAATCAGTAATTTTAAAACTCTCTGTGATTGATTAAATAGCATTTAGCATTTGATTTCCGGTTTTAAGATAAAAAATTATCATTTAACTTGCCTCTAGTATTATGTTAGAGTCGCGTACGTTATCACTAGAGCGATGCTTCACAGGTGACCAGAAATCTTCAGAGTTACCGTTGCTTCGACGGACGCGTCTAAAAATAATACCAATTTTATATTTAATATTGTGAAATATAGTATCACAAATTTGTCATTAAAAGGGCTTTAAATGTGAAAGCATGGAGAGGAATAAAAAAGAAACGTGCGGAACAGGTGACAGGAATTCAGATACAGATTTTGGAAAAAAATTGAAGAGTTAAAATATATGAAACCGCTCCTGAAGTTGAAGCAACACAGATTAGTGGGGAGTAATAAAAACCCACCACAAAGTCCGATTTTTTACATATTTTTCAAACAATAACTAATTAATTCATTTATTTTATCAATATTGCATTCACTATACTATATTGACAAATATCTTAAATAAAAAGGCTTACAAATCCACCAGGTTGATGAAAATATGCGGTAATTTCATCAACCTGGTAGCGAAAAATTTATACTTTTAGTTTATAGGTAAAATAATACCGCTATAAACTTATACTTAAAATTTTGCTTATACATTTTATCAAATTACCCTATCATGGTGGTTTTGTCATATTTGTCTTCTTTTATAATGGACTTTCAATCATTTGGTCACTAAAATATATAGGGTTATTTGTAAAATACAAACAAATTAACAAACCAAACCATACTTACATAAAAATTAGTGTTGCGCCACCGCGCTTAAATAATAATATATATACTATATATTATAGGAGTACGAAAATAAGCCAATCCATTTTCAACTCAAATACAAAATTGTAAAACAATTAATATTGATATCTTTAAATCGGCCCAATACTTAGTTTTGTAGTTATACTTCTCTAAATACCTCATTAGAAGAAAATCTTATTATTGTAACATTTTCATGTAAAATATAATCAAAACAGATATTATAGTTAAAAGGTTCAAGAAAAAATTTACTAGAGTAGTCTTACTTAGGTTAATCTTATTGATTGCGTTACGTATTCACTTAGACGTACCTGGGCGTTGGCATAGATGTAGATTCACTTCTCATGATCCTGCTTCGTTTGGACGGCTCCAGCCCATACACGTACGGAAAAGACGAAGGGTCGCCCTGAACATATTAATACCATCATTAGAAAACTAAAAGAAAAATTCTTTGAAAGATTCTTATTTAAGTTTACTTTTATTACTTTTATTTAAGTTCAAAAAAATGGATTATATAGTTTATTATTTACTTTTTGTATGATATTTCTTAATAGAATTTTAATTACATTTTCCGTACTTTCACAGTCCCTCACCTCATTAAGTAGATCACTATGACTGCCAGATGGATATCTTCGGTCAAAGGGTGATATTTCTGGAAAATAATCAATAATATACGTATTATATAAGCTGCTTAAAAGAACAAGATTGATCGACAAATTTATTATAAGACAAGTATTATATATTAGATCATACCAGAAGTTACAATATCTATGTCATCTTCTTGTGTCCAAGATTGCATATCGCCTTGAGCATCACCGTATCCACTCCAAAGGCCTGTGTATTCCGACTGTAAATAGAAAAGTTCTTAATTACTTCGTTATTTTGCACTCAACATAATATTTAAACTATTTGTCAATAATATGTGTTGTGAATTAACGCTCCTAGAAAGAGCCACCGGTACGAAAGTGTCTTATGTTTCACAACACGGATAACATTAGTTTCGAAACGAATATGGGCATTTTAAATGATTAAGGAAAATGTAAATAATAGCGCCATATATAACAGCCGAAACCGATGAATGAAGAAAATTGACAGTTACCCCAATGTGGTGACAAACAAATATTTATAATTATAAAAACGTCACATGTTAACGATTGCACAATAAATGAAATAATACCTGCGGCGAAGCACACTGTTCTACAGGTACAAGAAGCGTCCTGTCGAGGTGCCTATTGTGTTGCAAGCACCAAGCTACTTCAGTGCAGTTGTCCGTGTACGCTCGCACCGATTCTTCGCTCAAACGTACCCAAGTTCCGTCCTTATTTACCACCTGACAGTTAAAAGAATAAATTCTTAAATGGCATAATAAATTTATAATATCGTCAGTATTGACATAATTAAACTTTTATTTATTAAACCTTTACTTACGTGTTGAACTTAATTAAGTCTAATTCACAAAATTTGTAATGTAAAATAAAATTAAGATGCCAGTATAGGACATATACTTATTAAAAAATCATTCCAGAAAGTTGTTTGGTTGTTTGAACAGTCGGAATGGGTCTCACTCTTGTATTAAAAGGTTATACATAAAAATATAAGCGAACAAAGAATTTGAAGTCTTATTTTATCTCGACTAAAAATATATATACTAAATTGCTAGTCTTATAATAATGATGACTTTAACCTCTTCCACGTATGCAAGATTAGCGGCGAGGGGCACGCGGCCGACTTCCTCGGCTTGTAGGCTGGGGCTGGCGCGTACTCTGAGGCCAGCGCTGTATCGCGCGCAAAACTTTCGAACCTTCGATGCGGGCATAGATGACGGACATCCACTGCCGCCAGTCTGCACCTCCTGTTCTTCCACCTCCACAGACGGATCCTCGTTCATATCCACGGTTACATCCTAAGTGATCACGAGAGAGCATTTATTTAATACTCCCATGTATGTAAATGTCGTTACTTTTATTAATAAAGAGATTAATGAATGGTACATGATATTAGTGACAGAGCATAGCGAAATGTAAGCCAAAATCGTGCATGTGACTGTGTGCGGGCGCTGTGCAAACTAGATCTTGCTGATACTGACTGATGATGCTAATAGTATATCGTAGTATGACAGTTATATCGTTAGACTTTCGAAAGATAACATTCGATTCTATTAAATAAATATTTAAAAAACTAAAAGTTAATATCAACAAAGTAACGCGGTAGACCTTCCGGAGTATTGTGGTATCTTCGTTGATTCAGATTTACATTACAGAAAGTAGTTAAGAAATGTTATAATTTATTTAAATATGGAAAGGCAGTTTTAATGATGCAGAGCCTCGCACCCAAACCAAATCATTGGGCCATGTGGAGGTAAATTATATCACTACGGATAATCGATTCACAATTATGTCAAAAGATTGCAAATATTCATAGATATTCAGGAAATTCTAATAATCTGTAAACTTTAGGCTATCATTTCCATTTATGGCTGCGAAAAATATTCCATTTTGTTTTAAATATAGTACAACTTTTTCAGAATAAGGTATCAGTTGTGCCGCCAATTTCGATCTACGCGCCCTTCACTGTTATTTAAACATCCATTCCCTAGACACAAACGTACCTTAGGAGCTGGATGATCATCCAACGTGCACCGGAACACATATGAGCCGGGCGCGCGTGGTGTCCAGGCAGCGAGGTATGTGCCATCAGGTTGTGCACGCACCGGTAAACGTTCGGCAGGCACGCGTCCAGCTGTGCCGAAACCATCACCCTCCGCACTCTCTCCCCAACTGCCACTAGCCAACCTGAGCTCCTCGAATGATAAATGTTGGAAGGCCTAAACAAGAAACGCCTCCATTAGATAGAATTCGTTTCTGATCAAGGCAGATTCAAACTTACTCCAAATAAACTGTTGTAGCGCCAAAAACTATTGTTATGAAATTGAGATCAACCGATGCAAAAAAAAATCGGCGTTTCCGAATATACAACATGTAACAAAAAAAATGCACATCCTTATACACCACAATTAGAAAATGCCTTATAAATCATAAAACAAAAATTGGAATTTTACTTTTATGTACTAAAACATTGTTTATATAATGGACAAATTTATACTAATTGCTGGGTAACTGGGTGGACATCTTATAAAATTCATTACGGCTTAGCCTGCAACTACAAATGTATATACCTACAGCTCAATACCACAATGCTACCACCTACCTACCAATAAAAATTCTCGACATGAAATATTATGTTTCGCGATTCAAAGTTTTTTTTTTAAGTTTAGACATAATTATTATTCTTATTTGTAATGAGTATCGGCAAGCATAGTCTTACAATCATATATCACATGGGGAGCACAGTATCACCACATTATGCCTTACTCTAAGCATTTCGATAGGTTTACTGTACTTTAGAAAGAATAATCATCGCATGTGAAGTTGAAAATTCGATTAACTGAAATTGCGATAAAATAATCATCCACTGTCATATTTATTTGTGATATATTATTTTTTGTTTGTTTATGAATTATTTAACACTTTGATTTACGAACTTGTGCAGTATTTAAAAGCATTTTAGTCTCCAAAAACATAAAAGAAAACACTTTTTTCTTTGTTTTTTTTTTCATGTTATATTTTATCATAAGTTATTACTTATTATAAGTTTATTAATTATTATTTGTTTGTGACGGCTGTAATGGTTACAGGTGACCATAATTTACTTTATTCCAAATTAACTTAGCGAAAAATTACCTAAACTAGAAGTTTTTGAAATCTTAATTTGATGTAATAAAATTTTGGAACAAGATGATATTTATTATGTTGTAATATTAGAAGTATTTTATTTATCAAAGATAATGATGTTAGTATCTATGTTATTCTTTTAGTATTTAAATTAAATCATTAACTCACTAGTCTACTTATCTACCTCTCTAGGCAGTCGCATCAAATAAAATCATAAGAATCGAATTAAGTTAAGAATTATAACTCAACCCGTATGAAAGTTAAGCTCTAAGTATTATTGTATGTACTTCACCTTCATCATGGTAATGGCATGAAAACACATGTTGTCACGAAACGTGGGCTGGTAGGGCACATTAGGCAAGTTGCAGTACGTTCCATCTTGCGGCAAGCCGCCGGATCGGGAGCTCACATCCTCAATACGCTGCACCACAACCTATTAAAATAATTAAATTGTCTTCACTCTCTGTTATAATGAACTTGTATACCTTTGATACCTTGTTATACCTTTGAAAGCAGAAAATGACTGTTTCGGAAGCCTTGGTGTAAGTCATTCAATGTTACGACGAGTAGTAAAAATGAGTTTAAATTGTGTAAAAATACCAACTAAAACATGAAGATAAAAAGAAAACTGATTTGACTAATATTATTGAAAAAATTACGATCGAGCAAAATTATTTTTATTCGTATATTAGATGATCGTATTATTTATATTATACCTATATCGTATTATTTTTGACATAATTCACTATTCTACCTGCAATGGAGCCACAGCGGTTGACCCTATCGCCTATACTCGTATCTACATATAATTTCTGACGGTATTCACTCAATAGGCAAACCTCGTCTAGTTTTCATAAAAAAATGTGAAAATGAAACAAAAAATGTGCTTTATACTTTTTGATTTCATAAATTCAAAGGAATGGCCTACATTTTTACCAGACGGATTACATTACAGCGTATAAGTGGCTGGTATACGGAGCTAAATCTGAATTAACGAATACTACTTTTTATCTGACTAAATGTTTCCCTATACCGCTGACGGAAAGCTAGTAAAGAATAAAATTAATCTTAAAATAGGTTGATGAACAAAATTTGTTTTAACAACTTATTTTAGAGTCACTCTGTAAAAAGAAAACTATATGATAATGGTAATGTTACTTATAAAATTGTAAGGAATTCAAACGTTCTAATCAAATTACGTATAAATGTAAAATATAATTGTATGAAAGGAAATAAATTATATAATTTTTATATCATTAACCTATGTATAAAAACTGCAACTAAGATAACCTATTGTAAATTAAACAGGTACACTTAAGTTTGTTAACTATGACCATCATAATTGAGTTTTAGGTACACTAACAAGTAAAGTTCATGCAAAATTGGATACTCATTGAATAGCTACTATTTCTAGACAGAAACAGTCATTCAAAGAATAATAATAGATTAATTGGTGTTATTATAGACTTACTAATTATTTAGAGAAGAAGAATTAGATAAATTTGCCATTAATCTGAAAGATATTACATGACTTTTTAAATTATAAAGAGGTACAATTTATAACTTTGTTTGTTTGTAGAGAGTAGTCTTCGGCCATACTAATACGATCATGAAAATTCTTTCGCCTACAGGAAACTACTTCTTACATGGCTGACATGGTCTGTAATTTATGAGGGCGAAGTCGCAGGAAAACAGGTAGTAATCAAATAAAAATCATTCAACTTAAGCACACTAAGTATTACATTTGCAAGCAATTCTTGATAGATTTAAGTACACCATAAAAAAACAAATGTTGATACAAATTAATTATGACTGGAATCTATCCAGACACAATTAATACTAATTCCGAGAATACAAAACGTCGTACTAACTATGAAGATAAATAACGTATAGAATAATTTGTAATACAATGTAACGATATAAATTTACAACCTACTTGCTTAGTTATAATTAGTGTTATCAATCTTTTTAGATTCGGTTTTATTTTGCATAAAATAATATTTTATAGTCTATAATGTTAAATAAATATAATGAAAAAATAAAATAATCTAATGAATGAAAAAATAAATAAAAAAAAATAAAGTAAACAAATACAAAGATTAGAAAAATCAGTCAATTGATATGCAACCACTTTTACTACAATTCATTTTTTCAAGTTGGTTAAAAGTGATGTGGTCACCATTTAACACACAATGCAAAGTAATTAAAAGATTTTTTGATAATTATAAAAGTTAAATATACGATATATACAAAGCAGCTGTATATAAAAATAATATGTATCTATAGTATAGGTAAACAAAAATTGAAAACACTCGTGATAGATCCATTTAGTCAAAATCGATAACTCGTTTACGGTATGTCGAGGTCGGTAATATTCCTGAAAACGTGTTAGCACCCACCTAGTTCGATATGATGAGCACTGACGTTGATGTAAAAACTTTAGGTTCAAATAGTAGATGGAACTAACGAATCTTCGACAAATACTAGTGTATGCGAAATTCTGCGAATACGTACATTTAAAAATTAAATTAAAATGTTATTATAGACATTTTTAAGTATGTGGGATCTTCTAGAGCTGTCGTTGTGCGTGCCTTAAGGATCACTATTGAGTCCTCTACTCTTTTGGATTTATAAAAAAGTTTATTAACATAATCACTAAGAGTTCCATTTGACTTCTTACCTTATTTTTTATATTAACTGCCTCGGATCAATGCCATCGACAAAGCGGAAAATCTTAAAGACATTACCATTCTTCTGTTAACAACTTATAGTGTTAACATTATTATTGCTACTCAATTTGATTTACCTCAACTTTAAGCGCGGGAGCAACCACAGGTTCACCGTACTGATCTCTGATGATAACCGGTAAGTTGACTCTTGATGCAGGACGAGCAGGTGTGGATGGTGGCTTCAGCTCGCAATTGTCTGGCTCAACAAAAGATGCTGGCGACAACCAGCGTGCCAACCGCCCTCCAGCAGACTTTTCGTTGGCTACCACGAAATCTGACAAGAACTGACGTTCCGTCGACACGGACCTGACAACAAAACAGTAATAAGAGAGTTAACGCATTGTTTTTTATCGTGCAGATAAAATTTGAAAACCGCACCACATCATCTAAAAAAATATACAGCCGAAATAAAGAACTATATTCTGCATTTCTACAAAACGTTAAGGCTCCTAATATCGGATTTAAAGGGGGAACAGTCAAAAAAATTATCACAATAAGCCCTATCATATAATACTAGATGACCCGGTGTACTTCTCTCAGTTTAAACCTGGAATACGACAAACATTCCAAAACCAACATCAACTCATTCAGCCCAGCCCTTCCCCAGTTTTAATTAACAGGAATAGATTTTTGTAAATACTTATATAGAAGATCGCAGATGTCAATAACCTAGGTAATATAGTATGCCGATGTTTTAAAATTTATCCTCAAGTATTTCCCAAAGTATTTAAAATTTATTTCTTAACGTTGCGCGTCCGCTTTGGGTCACCAGATTACATATTATTATTACGAGTATTATCAAATTCCAGCTCAAACAGTCTAACAATTTAGGAGCAAATCTTAAGTGAATATAAAAAGTTTGGGTATGCCATTTTGTTTTAGTCCAATCATCACCAGCCTATTAATGTCCCCACTGATGGGGCTCAAGTCTTCCCTATGGAAGAAATCGAATCTAATCGAAGAGGGAGAATATAAAGGGGCCATCATACCACGCGGGCTCAGTGCAGATTGATAGGTATTAAAAACTGCAGATACAGAAGGTGTCAACAGCTTAGCGTGCCTTCCAAAGCACGGAACAGTTCGAGATAATAACATTTTGGTTACCCATCCTATGACCGGCCATTGCGGAAGTTGCTTAATAGAGGTATCGCAAACCGAGCGCAATAGCCATAGCGCTATCGAGCTTCTCAAGACTCCTTTAGTCCAATGGCTGAGTAAAAAAAATCATATTCTTTGTTGTTGGTTAGTTTCTTATTTTTTAGATGAAATTTTTTGTCAATTATAACCTACTTAAAAAATGGTGGAGGTTCCTAATGGACAGTTTTTTGTGTAAGTTTAACGATAATTTTTTTTTCTTTACTTCTCAAAACTACTATACATCAAACTTCTGAAAATCGAAATTTGATTTTATGAACTGCAAGGGCGTTTAACAAATTCAAGAAATTTCAATCGAAAAATTTACAATTCTTCGAAGTTTAAAAAAAAAACATTTTTTTCTACCGCTACAGCGAGGGTTTTTATTTTTCCTATGTGTATGGTGTATATGTAAGAATTTTCATCTGTTCCCTTATAACTTTGAAACTTCACGTAGAAACTGGACAAATGAGGTATCATTAGAAGCGTCTTAGTTGTCCGCGTGCCATAATAGGCTATGTGACGTTACGTTAAATTGGCAACAGCGCCCTCTGGAGAGGATAAAGTTAGAAAATAAAAAACATTATTCAATCCTTCCGTGTAGAGCATCAAATGTAAGGGGTTAATTAGCACATTTCAAATATATAAAGCTTTTACCTACGATTTTGCTTAAATACATCCGAAAATTTATTAATCAAAAATAAGTTAAAAGACTTTAACCCGACTACAGGTAAATCACACTCTAAAACTTTGAAAAAAGGATTTTATTTTATAGCGATAGCCATATTAAAAAAAAATAGCGATAACCAAAGGACAGCATAGTCAATCATAACAAAACAAACTGTTGTTGTGGCATACTATGCTGTTCTTTGGTCATCGCTATTATAATAGGTATAACCACAGAACATAGAGAGAGATTAGAAGTAGTAAGTGGGCGGGGCAAGCGTGGCTGGCATATGCGCTTTTACTCATATGACGCCCTTTCCTCGGTTTTATGTTTGTCAGTCGTTCGTCAATCGTCGAGTGGTGATTTTACTGATTTTTTCTATAAAAAATACCGTTTTGTGCTATTATCACTTGCAAAAAGCAAAACAAAGTATACAATCTAACTAATGCAAACATTTCCTTTCACTGGTAAGTACAATTTTAGTGCTAAAATATAAAAAACGTAATAATTTGACACAATTTCAAATAAAATATACATTGTTTGCTCAAGCCAACATTAATGTTTCTGACCCCGTTTCTAGACAGCAATGTAAATCATATTGTGCACTTTTGCAAAAAATAGTGCTGTGCCTCCATTTGTCTGAAATGTACCGATAGGCTGCTGCTGCTCGGAATCGTATTGTTAATTATATGGATCGTAATCGATAACTAAAACAAATTTATTTATAGCTTTTCTTTCATCATTTCATAACAACGTCATGGATAAGTATATGCCATAATTATATTAAAATAAAACCTACTGTTTACAAGAGAAAATAAAAGATGAATTGATACTGAACAGATGAAATAATGAACTATCCAGGCACTTTTTTACGAAGATTCAGTTAATTATTTACACGCAGATAAATATTAAAAAATACTGTTGTGCTATAAATATCTAAGTTACGAAGTATATCAACGTTTTATGAACAATATATAAATCAAACGAAACTTCGTGAAAATCTAAGAGTGTTGGCCTAATAGGTCTTATTATAAATTGGTGAAACTGGATTTCACTTATTTTGCATTACTTATATTTCAGTTTAACCTAAACCTATCAAATGAATTTCAAAACAACAGAATATCTATACAAACAAAAAATCATGTTTTCAACTAACGTAATATTGTTGGTGGTGTGAATTTAATTTACAAAATTAATTTATAGGCGTCAATTTAATTTACTTTATTATGCTGATTCATAATCGGAAACCATTATTATAGAAATCGAGTTAAGTTAAAGAACCGCCCACAGAACAGCTTTTATCAGTTTTTTTGTTGCTCCATATTTGCACATAAGTTTATAGACGCATGTCTCAAACGAATGTGACTTTATATGTAGATTGACGTTTGTACGTACTTATCGCTTATGTGTCTGTCTTCAAACATTTTTATCACAGCTTTCAAACTCATACTTGACCAGCGATTCCTTATTGTCCAGTCGTTGCAATTAAAATTGTAGGTACTATTATTATTACAGATATAAAACTTAGAATAATAAAGTAAAACAAACATGGCTATGATCAATTTATTATTGTAATGATCATATTAGTTATTATTAAATGAAATGAAAATATCTTTTTCAAGTAGGCTATTACAAGCACTTTTGAATCGTCCAAAAATTTTTTTTCCCCTACCATCAACATCAACTTGATAATAGCCTTTACTCATAAGTATGTTCATTACATGAATTTTAAATTTATTTATGGGTATGTCAACTACGAACTTTATTGAACATAGCAATGCATTTACCCAGAAATGATCCTCTGGTTATCTGAAGTCTGAAGCTTGGAATGGCAAATTTATTTTTATTTCTTGTGTTAAGATTATTAACACTACTTTTTTTTGTGAAGAAATCGTAATGTATTGAGAGGCAACATATTTATTTCTATAAATATTTCTCTGAGAAATTCTCTAGACCGTAAATTATATATAGCGTGGATAGCTCTCTTTTGTAGAATAAAAATATCTTGAATGCTAGCCGCAGAACCCCACAACAATAGATTATACGTCATTACACTATGAAAATAACTAAAATATACCAATTTTCTTAACAGCAAATGCTGCAGAATCAATATGAGGATCCCATTGCAGTCGGGAATCTATGTAGTGTAATACCAAGGAACTTTGTCGATTTCACCAACTCAACTTTTTCACTATTTACATTATAAGTGTATTAATATGCCTCACATTAGGTAATGCAAACTTTATGTATTTCATTGTATTTGAATTAAGCTTTAAATAATTACTATCAAACCACTGTAGAACATTGTCGAACTGAATTACATTTAACTGTTTCATAACAAAATTTGAAGCTTTTATTTTATCAACTAATATTATGTCACATCACTAATATGCACAATCGGAATGATACCAGTGTAACGGTGTGCCATGCCACCGTTTGTTTTCCTAGGTTTCAGTATGCAAACTTTTTGTTTTGAAATTCAACATCATTTCATTTTATTATTCGTCTTTCGTAATTTAAAATTTTGACTAATCAATTATACTCTTTATGGATGTGAGTTCGTAAGAAATTCTCCTATGCACAAGATGAAATTATAATACAATACAATATTAATGCTATAAATTTTACTATGTAATTTTAAAATAATTCATTTATTGTGATAAATAATGCGATATGGTGATACAAATTATATAACATATGTAACTACTAAATTGTAATCTGTATTTTGGTCGATCCAAAAGTTAACTAGAAGCCCGACAAGGGTTTTTCTTATTACCCTTATTTAACTAATAAATATATACTCAAGCTAAGCAGCCTTATTAATTGACCCAAGCACCGAACCCGTAACACCAGTAAGAAAAAATTACAAATTAGGCTTAATGTAATTAATACAAAAATTCTGATGGTTTCTTAATTTTTGTTTTTTTTTTTACACTTTCCCTCGCTTAATTATATTACTCCACAGACATATGAAAGAGTTTATCATTAAGTTTTCTTAGTTTTTGTACTGCGTTTTTTAAAAGATATTTTAATAAATTATATAGGGAAAAGCGTTATTTTTCAATATTCACTTGGTTACAGCAAAATCTAATCTTAATAGTTCGCACATAAAATGATGTCCCCAATTTTTTTAAATGTGCATAATCTTAAAATATTTTTTCCCTTCTGGTATTCCCGTATACAGCCACGTGACAGTTCAACATTCATGTTAAAGTAAATTATTTATTATCACGTTGAATTAGAGTTTGTTTTTAATCGTGTGATTTCTTAGCTTAGTATCTTTTTGGGATTTTGTTTATGTTATCGCGAACGTATCGCGTGGCGGTTTTTCATGTAGTGAACAAAATGATCATTTCATCTTATCTGTATTTGTGTGCGGAGAGGCGACACTCGGTTCCCATACTAAATCAATATCATTATACTTCTAATCTCTCTCTATGTTCTGTGGGTATAACTTTCGCCATAAAATAAATTTCTTGTTTCTATTATTTATTTATTTATTTTATTGGGGTTGGCGACAGCTTATAACTAATTATTACAATATTTTATTACAGCAGTTGATGAGCCGATAATAGCCATCCTCACTAAAAGCTAACATTTTCAAGCTTATGATTATAATTATTTCGCGACACATACCACAATGCCATTCAGACACCTAACTCACATTTAAAATAACAAAAAAATTGGAATATGAGTAAGAGTAAATTTACATAATTAATAATAAAATAAAATATGGAATATAAAAAGTAAATAAGATAAAAGATTATAATGAATAGATAAATAAATACTAACATACATACATTTATAAATACATAGTCTATATTTCTATTTAAAAGTATTCATTACTTTTTGTTTGAAGGTAAGTTTCGAGCCAACAAAAAGATCGATACACAAAACTGTTGGTTGTAAATATCCATCACGCGGCTAAGGACACAATTTTTATCACAATTTGTAGAGTGGAACGGCGTGCTGAAAGTGGTTGACTTGCGAGTTCTACGGGATGGTTATACAATGTTACCCCCTTTGTATTGATAAATTCCGGCCGCTCCCTTACAACTTATTGTTTCAATCTCACCCATTGTTAGCAGTAGAGACACAGGAGTAAAGAAACGTAGAGATCTAAATCTGAATATAAAAGCATCAACTTATTACGAGTTGAACAGTCTATGAATATGTGTCATTTTGTAGCTGAGGACTCTACGGAGCACTTTAATAATTTACGAGTAATTAATTAAAAATAGTTTTTAGCCGCAATACGCCATCCTCTGTCCCTGTTTATCTCACTGATGGGCGCATGGATATCGTCTGTTTTCCTCTTCTATCTAGTCTAACAGTCTTAACCACGAAATTTTTTGCTCGTTCTTAGCGTACGTGATCAATATTTCATCGATCTCTTCAAAACGATTCAATTTTATTACGTCTCAATAAATAAATAAAAATGAGTAACTACACAGTTCATTAAATTTCTTTCGGTGAGATCGTGTAGCATGTCTAAAGTACTTTTTAAAAATTCAATTGTTTTGAAGTAAATTTATGATTTACTCATATGCTGATCCTACTTTTTCAAAAATGGCATCCATTTTATCCGTAGCAGAGCGACCAGAGCTTTTTCTTTTTCTTTCTAAAAGTGTGCCAATTTCTATACAAGGTTTTTTTTAGATGTCATCAACTCATCAAAACCAGAAAAAAAAGATATTGAAGGATTATACATAGTACCGGAAATCTATACTAATATTATAAAGCTGAAGAGTTTGTTTGTTTGTTTGAACGCGCTAATCTTTCAAAAAAAAATATTTTTGTGTTGGATAGACCATTTATCGAGGAAGGTTTAAGGCTATATAACATCACGCTGCAACTATTAGGGGCGAAGAAATAATGGAAAACGCGGACGAAGTCGCTGGCGGTCACTAATATATAATATTATACAACATTATGTTTTTATCTCGTAGATAATTTTTTCTCAATGTTTGTTTGTCCTACAATAACCTAGAATTTTAAAATTGGCTTTAAACAGAATTGTCTAGTCAGGTAAACTAGATAGTATTGTATATTCAATGTGAAATAACCAACAGACAGATTACATTATTAAGGCAATTAAGGCATCACACTCTTATTAATCAGCATAATTATTTTTTAAATAGATCAAACAGCTAGTTTGAGATTTTTTTTTTAATTATATATTATAACATTTATAACTTGTAGTAAACGGTCTAAGATTGTGCATTCGAAATGTTTTCTATATTCAGTTGGTTTCCGATTTATTATGTAATAGAGCACTTCCGATAACCTTCTAAAGTAATAAAACTTTATTTACCATGAATTAAAAATCTGCATATTTGACAGAAGAAGAGTCGCGTCTACTCAGTCGCGAACGTGTTTTGGTCAGTACTATTAGGGATCCGCATAAATTCAAAAGTATTGTTACTATACTCGATACCCTTATCATATAAAAAATATCGATACCTGTAGGTATCAAGTACTTTTTAATACATTTATACAAAAGTGAATAAACTGTTTGTGTAAAACTAGCTTTCTTTGGTGTCGGTGACATCTAATGTAGATCTAACTTATACGACCAATTCATGTAAAATTACTTAAAACAGTCGCACTACCGGTGCGACACTGTCACTTATGCAAAAATTTAGTTTTTCAGGAGAAGAGTTTTAAACTCTGCCAACTCACAAAACAATGACTTTAGAAAATATAGATGAGATGAATCATACGGAACTATGCGTACTACAAAAGTAACATTATGGCACCAAGTAAAGGGGTGCTTTAGGACAATTATTACATATTTAACTAATTTTGTATTTTTTTGCAAAAGTGACAGTGTCGCACCGGGGGCGGGGGTGCGGTATATTGAGTAACGTTCAGATATTTATATGCGATATTATCAAAACATCGGTATGTCGATGTTATCAAAGTTAAAACATCGATGGTTTTCAGCTAAATATCAATTGTTTATTAAACATTGATTAATATAGATCATCCCTACTAGAGTTGTGTTGGTGTGAACATTTTGTTTAAAATATTGAATAATACTTTTTTCTTTTTCTTAGACTAATAATTTATTGTAAATGGAGAGAGAGAAGGAAGATATCGATACCTCAAGAGTATTGTAAATAAAGTATCTTCGATTCTTAAAAGTACTTGGTATAAAAAAAAAGAATCGATATCCTGAGGTATCGACACTTTTTTAGTATCCCTAAGCACAACTAGGAAACAACTAGTATTCCCTCGACGTGTGGCTAAATGACCGAAAGGTAATGCATCTGAATCGTCTCCACACTGTGGGCCATAATGTGCTAACACAGGTCATCGTTATTGTGTAGTGTAGACGGTAACATGTAATTTTACATGAATTGGTCCTATAATGGCCCATGATCGTGCATGTTCGCCACTGTGTCGGTTTTCTGGACAATCATCAAAGGAAGTTTGGAGATGATCGTGCGCTACCATACAATCATTGATCACTCAGTTCGAATTTATATATGATATTTTGGCTGTAATCGATGCTAAAATATCGTAGCCGATGAAAGCATTTATGGTAATAGAATTATACCAAAAGTATTTTCTTGTTTAGGCGTCCATATGGTTCAGAATGATTTGGTGAATGAATTAACAAATGTAGAATGACCGAGCATGTGGACATCAGCGCAATGATGGTTACAATCATGGTGGCACTCAGTGATTGTCCATCATCGCCGATAGTGGAGAGGGCCCATGAACTAAATATTAAACAATTCTAAATATATCTCCATTGCTTGACTGTTCAAGAACTGGCTATGGACCGGATAACATACAAACGCTGTAGACTAATCCTCAGAAGTGATTAGGTACCCCTAAAACGCTTAAGATTCAGCGTGGAATCAAATCTCATTGCCCGCTGAATCCTAAGCATTTTTTAAATCACAATTTTAAAACATTTCCTCTTCATTGTAGATAGGTATTGTTTTAATTTCAAACTTGTGTATGTGGATATATTAACATCGATCTAAGATTATAGGCATTAGGTTTAAATTAGACAAAGCTAATATGGACGTAGGTACAAGTACGTATAAATGAATGAGAGCGTTTTAATGCGCGCGAGCGCATACCATTCGCAATAAAACGTGTTATACCGCTAATAAATGACTTCATATGTCAAAAAACGATTCGACAAATTTTCCGAACTCTTCGTAAATTCTGATTAAGTACCAAAAATAAGCGCAAGACATTCAATATTTTTATATAAAACTGCAATTATAGCTAAATCGAAATTACAAAGATTTAAAATAAAACATGGAAAATAGTTTAGGAAATCAGATTAAAAATTTAATTAAGCAGGTAAAATTAAAAAGTTAAAAAAGTAATTGGCTATAGGCTTATCATCATATCGTATCGCACCATATTATCTAAAAATGTTACAACTTGCTCTACTGAATGATATAATTACAATTAACAGGTTTAATTCTTTAAGTAAATTAATTCGCCAAATATATGTATATTGTCCCTATCACTATGTTATACTCTTCTTCTTCTTCTTTTTTAATTCATGGCCTATTTGCATTTACACAATTCCGCCAATGTCACGTTTGTGGTCTGCCATATAATAACGTAGCATAAATAAGTTTAAAGGGTTACATAAAATATATATAAAAAACAAAAAAAAAGAAAGAAGTGAAAAAAATATATAATTACTTTCACTAAAAACTAAAAAGAAAAAACAAGTCTAGTAGTTTGCAATGTTATTAAGTACTACTGAATAACTGCACCATTGAAATAGTTATAAAATTTATTCACTATAAAACATATCATAAATGCAAAACCAGAATAGAAGGATAAACCCGACTCAGTTTTAATTAAGATTTTGAAAAACCGGCTAGTTGCGAGTCGAACTCGCGCACGAAGGTTTCCGTACCAAAAAGGAGCAAATATATCACGTTTATTGTATGAGCTTCCTTGAATATTTATTTTTATTCTGTTTTTTTTTTTGTATTTGTTGTTATAACGGCAACATAAATACATCAACTGTGAAAATCTCAATCATCTAACTTTCACGGTTCATGAGATTCAGCTTGGTGACAGAAAGACAGCGAAATCTTAGTAATAATGTTCCCGTTTTACCATTTCAACACGGACCCCTAATAAAGCACAGAAAATAGGTATATCTATTTATAAATTATAGGATACCTAGAGTATAATATGCCCTCTACGTGCGAGCCCGAATAATTCTTGGTCTTTTTAAACTTTAAAACGCTGTATTTCCAAAGACTGTTTTTTATCGAATATGTGATACATATGCACTATATTGCTTTAATAATAAACATTCGCAGTAAAGTTTATTTGATAATGCTTTTCAAACGTTACATTTATTTTTCACGTGGTATTTTATTTTGTGAGCTTTGAATTCTACAAATAGCTTATAAGTCTACTTTTTATTTCTCTGTAAATATTTTCTTCATTTGTCATTAAGGATTTTTTTTTAAATAACAAGGGATGAAAATACGTAATGGATGTTTTTCGACGCCGACGAAAAAATAGACTTACTATAAAGAATATCGGGTACGCCATACCGTGTCTTTTGATATTTAATTATCAAAAGACATGGTATGGCGTACCCGCCATACCTACTTAAAAAAAATATAGTAAATTAAAACGATACTATGAGGAATATCTGTGTATTTACCAAAAGACACGAGCGGGGATCTATGTATATACAATGTGTAAATTAATGACGTAGGCAAGGCAGGGATGCACTCTGTGAAGTTAACGACATGTGTTCATACGGATGCACGCTGTTGCATGTTTTGAATCTGATGAGTTGGGATGTGCAACGTACACTCACCGACCTCATCGGCTTTGGGACTAACGTAGTGACATCTCTATCGTTACAATAATATCGATTAATTCATAAGATGCTCATAACCATTCGACAGATGAGATCAAATTTCAGTATAGTTTGTCAGATACATCACATTTTCAGTACTTTACAAACGTTAGAAAGAATTGCAATAGATCCATATTTATAAGTGACACGGTATGTAAATTGATTTAGTAATGCTTTGTTTTCGGTATTTTAAAATATTGGGATGAAGAGTAACTTCATAGTCTAAATAAGTTATTTTTTAATTTTACGTCTCTTTATTAAAAAAAAAACAGAGAAAAAAAAGCAGCTATTTCTGAGTTTTTGACAGGTTCTTCTCGGTACACGGTCGAACCGATGGCATAGAGTTTCGACTTTCCCAACTGCTTGTAAAAACAGCCTAGAATTAATAAATTGTCATAAAAAAGTTTTTGCACAAGGGAAGTTTGACGATACTTCTTATAAAATGCATATTCTGTAATACTGTACTTATTGTCCAAATACTTAGAGACGATGGGAAATGACTGCAGATTAACCAAAGTAGAATGTTTACTATACATACTGTTAAATGTTACATAGCATATATGATAAAATAAAATTACAGAACGTTACTTTATTCTTAAATAAACAATGAAGGTTTTGTTAATAGATAATTAACTAATTCATATATTTATAATATTTTTTAATTACCATCACTAACGTTTCTTCGCGTTCCGATTAATTAAATCAATCTATTGTATAGGTACTCTACTTGAGATCCAAAATTATTTGTTCATTAATATGAGGCTAATGCTAGCAAAGAGTAAGAAAAACATAATTTGTGCTAAGTAAAACAAAACGTTTCATTAGAACAAAATTAGTGCGCATGATCATAATAGGTGTGAATAATCGACATCGATGATAATAATAACGAGCGTAAATATATTGGGCGTCACTAGTATCGGAGGCGGCACGGCACCAGCTTGTGACCTGTGTCTGCTCGGCTAGGAACGAAGCGGTAGGCGGCCGCCGTCACTACGCGCTTCTCGCCAGTCCGTGCATGATCCTCTAGTGGTGCGCTCGCTCGTCTGAGCGCCACCATGATGCGCTCCGCGCTCTTGGTGTTGTTAGCATCGTGCTCTGTAACTCTGGCCGAACATAATTATGGCATATGCAAAAATGAATATTGCGAGTGTTCTCCCGCCGGTCACCCATCCTGGATAATGACAAACTGCACGCTGCCACCAGATCAGGTAAGTAGTAAGCTCAATTATTTTATCATAAACAAAAGTGAACGTATGTTGCGACATCAGTTGTTGAATGTTATTCACTTATTCGTGTATTCTGGTTTGTTGGAACATCTCTCTTCACACTATATTCAACAGGAGATTTTTGTTAAAATTAAATGGCCATCTGCTGCCTATTATCACTATTAAGTATGACAAGTAACAACATGTTAGAACATTACTTATATGCCATTATAAATCAATTAAACATTCAATAAAATAACGAATTACACAATATTATAAATGTACAAGTTTGTCAACAAACTAAGAGTATAAAAATTATACGTAAATGTCGCCAGCTGCAACAAAATAAAAAACAATATAATAAAAATGTAAACAAAGAAACTACTACCTGAGACCCTAGCACGGCATGGAGGGATGCCGTATCGTAAAACTTTACGCTGTCTCTGTCCGATGAATCAACAAGTGTCTGAATGTCGGCTTCATCTAAAATATCGTTTATGGGGCTAAATATAATAGATTTCTTCGTTTTATCTACATACAAAAAAACTTTTCTTTTTGTCAGAATATTTGTATTACATTGCATTAATTGTAAGTAAAATGTCTCCGTAATACAAATGGGAATCGAGTTATTGCAAAAGTGAAGGAGCTAAAAGTACAAGTAAACCTCCCGCTACTGGCTAGTCTGGGCTATTTGTGGTCACTGTGTGAACGCACTCACGAAATTGACGTCTAGCTAAAACATACACATCTAATGCTGTCGCATTTTATTAATAAAAATGTCATAATTAGTAAATTAAATATAAAATTGCAAACTGAATGCCGAATGCTTTGAAATAAACAAATTTATTCTTTGTTCGAAAAGGAAAATAGTTAATTTGGTTTGCAATTAGAAGAATAAAGTAATGTTAACAAGTTGAAACATGCTGTAATGACGTCATTATAACCTACATACAATGACATTCATATAAACTCAGCAGAATTTTGGATATAGGGCAGTTCAAAAGAAAACTGTAGTGAGCGTCAATGACCGACTAGTCAGGTGGGAAGTGTTTCAGATATTTTGTGTTACAAATCTATACTCAGAGGAGCACTTGTCTAAACAGTAGTATATGCAGAAGACAGGGTGACTAAAAAAAACTTCCAGTTTCAAACTACAGAATTTCACTTGTAACAAGTCAAGTGTAAACCGATATAATCAAATATGCAATAATATTCTGTAAATGAATTTAAACTAAGAGAATATATTCTCTGTGTTATCGATTGGACGACGGCCAATACAGCTGTGTTAAAATTTTTAAATCGACAATTGTGCGATTTGAAAATCTGAAATTGGTGTCAAATAGATTCCTTTAATTCTCCCTTTTAAGATTAAAGGTTTTTGTTTTTAATATATTTTCGATCATTTAGGAAACTTTTACCCAGAGCGCATATCCAACTCTCACTAAGTTCTACATAATACCGTAAATATCACAAAAATAAGAACATTCCCTACCTATGTCTGTATTTTAAAACATTTTTAACAAGTTGATTTGACTTCGTTCGCTACTGATTTGTCAAAAATAGCTTTTGTATTATCTAGTCACTGGAACTATACAATAATATATCTGTTATCAAACATGATTACAGTACTAATGGCCAGGCTTATGTACATTCATCGTACATTGGAACATAATATTTATAGAAACACAATAAGTTGGTGATAGGCAAACGGTTACCAATTAATTCCATTGAATTTTAATATCAAATACTAAGAAACTTCTACCTAAACCTAATATTTATTTAACTGCCAAAGTACATTACAAAGTAAAAAACCATTTAAATGAAAGCATATTTTCCTATATCTGTATACTCAGAATAATAATGTTATATGGGTTTTCTTGATGTTGATTGAGCTTCGGGAGCAACGAACAACCCTTAAAAAAAACATAATGAGAGATCGCTTCCTGCGAACGAACGCCTTTGCCTCACATCTAAAACAAATATGTATGTCGATCACAAATAAATTCACAGTAACATTTTTTTTTTTTTACTATTTCGTAGCAACAACAAGCATACCGATTCGACAAATAAAATTATGCAATTCTTCAGACAATAAAATACGAGTTATTGTTACAGGATTTTAAGTAAAATATGTATAACGTTTTAATGTAAACGTTTTCATTTCAATGAATATTATTGCTAAAATTTAATATGAGTGCCAAAACAAATAATATTTGTTTATTTGGCTTAGAAGGGTGTTCACAATGTTATTAGTGCTATTTTTTTTTTTAAGATGTATTTAGGGGGCAATTTTTGCATATATTTATGGTCCTGCAGCTGCGTACAAAAATATTCACCACCAAAGAACAAAATAATCATTAAAAATTATTTAAACCTATCACGGAAATGCAGATATTGAACAAAAAATTATTATCTGTTAACAACAACAGAGTATACACACATTATATGATCATGAGAGTAACATTTATTTATATCACATTAGTCCATTGGATGGATGGTAGACGAATAAGTAATGGTCCTTACGTGCAAGAGATGGCCTAATGATAGTAGACACAAAAGAAATTCAAACAAACGTAGTCTTTGATAACTATTCGCTATCTAAGCGATACGTATCATCGACAAAAGTCTTATATTCCAAGATAACAATATAAGTGTAACGCGAGTGTGTCGCTTCTACCAAGCCCACGCGATTGTAATTATTGCGACCGTCAGAAATATATTTTTTACAATTAATGATAACGAAACTGCAAAAGCATACAATTAAATCTACTTTAGCACACCGATTTCGGCTTTATTGTAGCTGTTTTTGATTTGATTGTTTTATATTGTTATTGCCACACCACATAAATTGATTTTTAAATTGTAAATACAAAAACTTCATCACAAGGGTAAAAAACACCTAAGTAATATAAGCTACTTCGTCCTTTAGAAATACTCAAAGCCGAGTGTCAATAAACAGCGGGTTTTCTTTTTCAATATATTTTTCTCTTGAAGCATATAGTGTTTAATATTCGTCTAGCTTTTATAAACAAACTTTGAAATTTTTCTTTTGAAAATCGTATGAATAGTTTTGATTCTCCATATTCACATATAAACTCAAAATTGTTCTTGAACGGTAAGTAATGCTTCACATAACATTATAATAAAAAGAATTGATTACTATCTACTCAGATATATCAATACAAAATATGATTATCCTATTAATATGTAAAATAATAAAAATAAGGGTAGAACAAATTTTATATGGGATATTATTTTATTTAACTATTCAACTTATATATCGTTTTAATATTATTTAGATAGATTTGGCAGAATTGAATAAAAAACGTTTTAAAAAAAGTGAAATATTTAAAATATTCTCTGAATAAAGTCCTAATAGTTCCGTTAAACGTAATTATTTTAAAATTCGTGAAACTTATTATTTCCTATGACTTTAATACTTATAACTCTGCGTCTTGTCTATTATCATTACTCAAAGCAAAAACCTTGCACGGAAGCACACTCATGCTGTTCGAGTCAATATCTTTTTCACGACCTCCGTAGTCGGGCGATTCGCACACCGAATTCAAGTTGCCTGCCATCTCTGATGTTCAGAGTCCGATTGTTACCTTCGTTGTTTCAGATACTTAATTATAAGCATACTTTAGCTATTCATTCATCTTGAAACCTGACCAATGAATGTTACATTTTTTTACATCAGAAGTTTCCAAACGCCATTTTGTTCTAGAAAGACGTTATCTAGAAAAGTGAAGTACTTATACAAATAAATTTAAGATATTATATAAGAGTTTGCCCGGGATAATAATTATAAATAAAACAATGGAAGGTATTTTCTAAATTTCAATAACTTATCAAAATATTACCTAACAAATCGTTACAATTAAATTTATAATCTTATTACTAAGGTCTTCAGCAAAATCGGTTATTTCAAGAGTAGGTATTATTATATTTTAAAGGTAAATTTTAAGATATTCTCATTTCAGAAATAAGTAATCTCCAATCAATGTTATTTTTATACTATTATAGATGAATCTAAAAAGATCATAATCTTTAAAAAAAATTAATCCGTTCATCAGATTAAGCTCAAAGGTACTTCTTATATAAAGGTACAAGTCAGCAACTCAAAGACGGACGTATAACGTATATAAATAAATAAAAAAAATGAAGGCTACTTTGTGAAGAGAATTGAAAAAAAAAACTTAGCAAGTTATCGTGTGACAAATCAAAGGAAAGGGGCTTTTTAAAAGAAAAAACTCAACAGAATATAGCTTTCTAAAGAAAAAATAAAGAAATTTAAAAGTTACTCGCTCTTTACCTATATAAAATTTGACACAAGTCTTTTCAAATCAATCAATAATAAAACATAATGGTACTTTTATTTCAATGATATGTATGGTACATAATTTTTATTCTAAAAATAAATTAATGATTCCTTGTGTGACGTATTAATGGAATGGATTCAATGAAAGTTCAGGGTTTCTTTCGTTCTTTCAGGTGTAAACTTCTTCAGTCTGATTGAAGTTCTCATGACGATCAAATGATGACATTAGGAGATCAACATGATTTGATTAATGAGTACTTATGTGACCGACGTCACGTACACATAATAATTGTAGTATACTTTAACGCTAAAACTACATATCAATTATAATGTAACTATGACTGACTAATGCTCATTAAGTTGCACATTTTAATATGTCACAAAAAACAATAATTTCAGTCTCTGGACTTTTTCCATTAATAACTATACGCATATAATGAAACATCATAAAAACGTGGAGCCAATAAATAACATGATTTTAAAGAAGATAGAACTTAACTGGCAACAAATAAAGAATTAAAATGTTTGAGAGATGTTTGATAATATGTCGTAACTTGACGTGCTATTCACTGTATAACAAAATTTTGTAAAGTTTCGAGAATGGCAAATTAAATATCAATTTTAATTTACTAAACCGTTATTAAAAAAGGATTCCTCGTTGCAGACTTTCTGACAAATTCGTATAAGACACAATATTACCACAAATAAGATACATAACAAAGGTGAGTGTAGATTGATTGCAGAACTACAATAGTGTATTTTTTATTTTGACAAGGTCGAAAAGTAAACAGATAATAGCGACGCCATTATCAGATCAAATGAGCAAATAAGATAACACAATAATTATGTTATTAAGTACCTTAAGGAAACTGCTATAATTTAAAATAAATATTATTTACCGATAGACGACATCATTATATCGAGAGAATAGCAAGAATCCGCAAATCCGGTCTACGCGAGTTAAGAATTGTTGTGTGGGTCTAAAACGTGTGGGTATTTTTAATACAACATTTTTCCTAATTACGATGTTAACTTTATTAAAGTACTAGCTGTATTCTCGGGATTCCGCCTGCGGGACATATAACGATAACACCCACGTATAGCTTCCGGTAGGTGAAAGAATTATCGCGATCGTATCATTAATTTCGAAGATTAGCCACAACAAACAAACAAAACTAGAAACATTACCTCTTTATAATATTAGTAAAGATATAATAGCACTTTTATTCAAAATTCCATATTAATGATCAATCATGTGATTGCTATCGTTAAGTCATTTTTAACTTTCCATTTAAAAACACTTAAAATATATACAATATTTTATTTTCTGGAAACGTTAACCTTCATTCAAATAATCTTTCATAAGTAACCACCTAATGGAGGTATAAATAAACATCATTGCAAATTGATAGAGTCTGGGAGCATCAATACTAATCGCGCCTTGCAATCACAATCGCACCCATCTATTGTTCCAATTGACTTATGCCCCGGCTCACAGTGAACCAAAAATCTCTGCAAATTGTATCGGTTGTTCCTCGATGCGAAACCGTATCTTAAATCACTATACTGAATTCAATCTTAGCGGTATTTAAAATTACTTATTTTAAAACTACCACAAGATAACTAATACTTTGATCCGAGATATCTTTATCTAGCCTATTACGTAACAAGTGTTTTTTTTTTTAGAACCAAGCAGTATAACGTATTTCATTATATTGATTGTTTTATTCTAAAGACTGAATGATTTCCAAAAGTCTAGCCGGTTAGACAGTATCACTGCCGATGCCGATTACAGTACATCGACCTACTTAAAACCAAGAACCAACCCTTTTAGGTCTGATCAACGGAACAGGTTTTACAAGCTATATTATCCATTTAATTTATATATAAGCGGATCATTATACAGTTTAAAATCTGAATCGATTAGCTAAAAACTTACATCATACTTGGGAACGAAAAAATTACAACTGTCAATAAAATTAAAAAAAAATCTAGGACAGCATTCGGATCTTTATGAGGGCCTTTGACATTTACAGAGAAGTCAACATGATAAATATCATCGACGAAATATGAAAGGCAGGTAGGTAGCATTTAAAGAGTCCATGCTGTTAATTTCCTTCAAATATATACACTTAAAAGGCGAACAACTCGTAGTTGCAAAACATACGGGTGATCACTGTGAGTCAACGAGGGACATCGCGTACGCAACCAGCCAGAGCCGACAATGAACACACGTGATATTATGCACTCACACTTACCAACACAACCAGTTTAATTTTATAATTATAAATGTGTCCAACAAAATATAGTCCCATTACATGGCATGTGACGACGAAGCGATACTATTGTTAATATTAATCATTCCCTGATAGTGTTCGGGTTCAAACAATACTATATTATGAGTGTTATCAACTTCAACTTTACTGATAAAATTAAGTTTGAAGTATTAAATATCTCCTAAGACTTCTCGTCGACTCATAAAGTCAGTACTAAGAATTAGGGATTATTTTCGTAGGCAGTTAAGAGGATTTGTTAAATTAAGCTAGATATTAATATTTATTTTTCAAACAATTCAGATCTAATTTTCAAACAATTTCGGGTGCCAATCGTAGTAGATAGAATATACAATTAATTACAAACCTATGACGTTATGAAATAAAGTTGCGTTCGTGAGGAATCATTGGGACGTGAGAGCGACCGAACCGGAGTCGGTATGTATGTTTGTGTTTATTTTTATTTGGTACGCATGTGAGAGCGGACGTGTCATCTCTAAGTCTTCCTTTTATACTGTCTGATTTTAAAACAAACCAAGAGAATCAGATGCTAATATTGAATGAAAACTTTTCAGAACACAAACATTACTGTAATCCTTTTGTTATTTCTTTATAAAATATTTTAACTGAACCAGATCATTAGGTTTTAAGAACCACTTACCTAATATTCTTTTTAATATAAAATTATTGTAAAAATTTAAGACATATGAACATAATATTGTTCACAATTTGAATAAATAAGACGCAAATGAATACAACAAAAGAACAGCAAGAATGCTTTGTAATAACATTATGCTGAATACGCTAACGGAGAGTTTATCTTTGTATCACGTGAGTCACTACAAGACGTCTCTCTATCTGTCTCATGGCAGGAGTATAACTGTATCGGTTCGTCATAACTATCGTCACATTATCAGAAGACTGTGCACAGATAACATTCATAAACGAAAAAAGGAAGTACAATGTTCTAGTTGATCAATTCTGGATTTTAGGCGGCCTTTTTATGAATGAACAATGGTCGAAAGTAGCTCTCACTTTTTACCGATTGGACGAGGTTCGAGGACAATCAGCGCCGGACGATCAGACAGTGTGGGTGGATTAGATGCACCCAGCGCCACTATCCTCACCTCACTTTCCCCACTTCGTGCGTAATTCAATCAGCAACCCGTATCCGCTTCGTATTCGACCCTCTTTTTCGAGAGACCACACCGAATCAAACTGAATCATCTGACATTCTTCAAGTGTACCCATCAGCATAAGAGTTCCTACCTAAACGTCATAAAACAAAAGTTGTATAGACATTTCAATAATAGGCTTGTGTCCTACAAGTGAAAATACAAATTTCTCTTACATGATCGGAAAATATGAACCATTTTGACTTATAAATATTTAGCATAATGAATTTATGACACTTATATGGAAAATATTTCGTTTTGAAAGTATGAAAAAGTAAGGAAAATCTTAAAATTTGCTTAAAATACATGTGGCATGAAATTAGTTACATAAAACGTAACAACTTTCATTATTAAAGCTATAAACATAAACGCACAAATAACAAAGATTGCCCAGACACCCATACGTTTTTCGAATCCGTAGCACTGTGTGACGTCACTTAGTGCCTAGGATTTGTAGGGAGCGTTTTCGACCAACTAGCGATATCCTATATCCATATATAGTGTTCATTAAATTCAGTTTACAAAAATCAAATTACTTTAAAATTATAATCAAATAGATGCAATGTTAACAACAGCGGCAAATTTAAAGTTCGCAAAAATTTATAGTTGTTCTATTTAATGACAAGCCTGACGCGACTTTACGAGTATTACTCACTTTTCTAAAAATCAGAGTAACATGAAATTAGTCATTGCTATAATTAAGAAAACATAACAGATGGTTACTTACAATTACTTTAACAAACAAAACAAATGGTAGGAATGATTAATGCACGATGCATTAGTCTAGATAGCGTTGTTATTGTTCTATTGTATGTGTTATTTAATAATTATTAAGCGTTTTATTTTGTTTTTCAGAGGTTGGATATTCTGGACGGGGATTTGTCGGATATGACATCGGATTTGCTGGTAACGGGAGGCGAAGCGCTGATGTTGAGCGCCAACTCGCTATCGCGGCTCAAAGATTTGCGACGCGTTCGCTTATCAGGCTCTAAACTTGTGGTGTTGCGCCGAAACGCCGCCGTCAACCTAAACGTCGTCAACGCCTTTCTCGAGATCGACCAATGTGATGTCCTTAGAATTGAAGAGAAAACTTTCAGCAACATTAGAGGTATGTGATTATAGTAGAAACAAAATGCTTTGCGAGTTTACATTAAGCGAATCGTATCTTGTTTATATAGTAAATTTTTCAAATTCTTTGCCCTTGCGTATTTTAATATTTAAAATGTTATGCTGTGCGATTTACCATAATACGTGTCACATTTTTTATTAAATAAATTTGATATAGTAGCTGCATATTTATGATATTTTTTAGAATTTCGTTGGCTGATAAATATTCTACTTACACCACCAATGATTTAATGATAGATATTTTAGTTTTGTATATGGGGATCCACAAAGTTCCCGTGCCAGGCAGTAAGCATGGATTCGTATTCATTATCAAAGTCGCGCGCGTGATATGAGTACGATATTATAATTTCGGTTCTTATTGATGTAAGCACTCACGAAGGAAGTCTGCTAGAATTTTTACGTGTACAGAAGGACCCAACCTTTTAAAACCTAATTACCGTAGATACTTGTAACAATATCCGTTATACGTACTACGTGCGTACAGCAATTTTTGTTATTCAGAAGAGCTGTTACGTTCGATGCACCCATCGACTGTGCTTTGTGACGTCATGTGTAGTGGTCACTCGACGCCCTCGCAATATGATATACAGATGGCCGGTGTTAAACGACTAGTGGTCAGCTGATACGACTATAAAGCAGCAATGTAAATATAAGCACATACTATGCAGTGGTAACCGGTTCTGTAGGTTTGCGGTCTGTCTACTCGGACACCGGATGGGCCCGATTATCGGGTCGTCGTCGTTCAATTTCGACTAGATGGACTCCGTTCATTATGCTATTTAAAGTAATCGTGGCAGCACTGCAATTTCTATAACGTAGACATAATTCCAGTGATGTCCGATAACATACATCAACAATGACATATCTTGCTTATACAACACAGTCGTAGAGCATGGAGCAACCGGAACTCTAGTAAATACATTCGAACAATAAAAAGGTACTTATTTAAGATGTAACTTAAATTTATATTTTTATTAGAAGTAGGAGAGAAAATGTATTGTTTTTAGTCACCATTATGATAATAGCAAACAAAATTAAAATTATATAAAAGATGCATTTAGATATTGTCATTATTATATTTAATATAACAATTAATGCTATTTTTACATATTAAAATACTTATCAAATGATAGATAGTAAATATTATATTACTCGTTTACTTATGTAAATATAATTATGTTCGAATCAAAAATCTAAAAACCCAGTACTACGGATATATGTCAAGGATATTCAATTATTATTTAAATCAAATTTACATAACCAATTCACAAAAAATATATTATAGTGGGGTGTAAAAACAAACTTAATAAATAACAGAAGCCAGTTAAAAGATCTCTACGTTCAAACAGACAGTGTTCTTTGTAAATAAATTATGGGGCGACAAAAACATTATCAAGGTTTATAGTAGAACAGACTCCATTCTACAACACATCTTGTGAGGAGACCGCAGGGGACCAAAAAACAGCGCACCCGCATGTACCGCCGACCCACTGATAAACTAAACTCACAGAAAACATACACGTCACATCCCACCCCGCATGTAAATATCACAACACTAAAATGCTATTGTAAAACTAATCAATGAGGTTTTATACAGCGTTCGACAAACATTTATCACAACTGCAAAAGAAAACAATTATCGAGATAGCCTTCCCAGAATCAAATTTCAAATAAAAAAAAATAGCTATTATAGTAGGTTTCTTTCTAGTTGTATAATAAAATCTTCATAAGGCCATTGAACATAAGAATATAATACGCAATGAACTTAATCATTCGTAAAAATAATTATATAAGGAACACACTAATGGTGTCACAAGTGGGAGACACTGGCGTGCGACATATGGAAAGAGGCTGCAGTAATGACGCACATCATAATACGTGGCAGCTAAAGAGTTAAACATATTTTTATCTAGCCCGACTGTCAGAATACGTTCGCCAAACATACAAACCCTTGTTTTATCTTAATTCGTGACGATACCATGTTTACATTAAACAATTTGAATACCAATAGTGTTATGGTTATCTGATGTACATATTTTTTGATTGAAAGCTCCACATGACAAAGCTTTATAGCCTATAGCATATTGTATAAAAAAAAGTATACCAAAACATCTGTGTACCATCAAGAATATAATAGTAACTTTCACCTTAAGCATAGAAATTATCACACTTAAGATCGTATCGGACCCACAACATATGTATCATTGTTGGCATTAAATGAACGCTTTTTGGCATTCCAATAATGGGAAATCAATGACGACAAAATTAACAAGAATCGTATTAACTTTTGAAATAGCGTCGACATTATAAAAATTAAGTTGTTTGATGCATCAGTATGCAGTTTTAGTATTTGCGCGATAGTATATTGGCGAAGAACAGAGAGAACAATAGAGATAGCATGCGAGAAACAGAACGTCAGACTTTATTTTTAATTAATTACTAATTTCTCGATATGACATTGAGTGTTCATTTATGAATAATTTTTGGGGCATCTAACTGTAACGTTTTTTATCAAGATCATTTGAAAAATTCTTGTGACACATATGATGTAGCTTTACCGTTGCAATGTAATAGCAATTTATTTGTTTTGTTCACGATCATACCGAAATGAGTGATTATCTTCTAAGATTCTTCTATGAACATAATTTCATAAGGAGTAGAGATACCAAATATGTATTTATATTTTTGATTTAATTTTATATGAATATTATATTTGATCTATTTTGCATTCACAATGCTGTATTGACAAATATTCTCAATTAATAATGCTTAAAACAAAATGCATTGATGTAGTAAAAATAAGGGAAAAAGTAACAAGTGCTTAAAAAAATAGTCAGTTCTGTTAGGTCCTGGGTAGCTCAGTGGTTAGAGCAGTCGCCTGGTTGCGAAAGGTCATGGGTTCAGTTCAGTTGTATCAGTTGATAACGACTTGAGCAGCTTATCATCGAATAGCATTTAATTTCAACCAATATTGAATATTTAATAAACACATTTTTTTATTTCAAATTTAATTTTTTTTTATTTAAAACAAACTATTATCATTAGTATATTATCTTAATATATTATCATTAGCAGTACTAATTATTTGAAGAGATGAAGGACTATTTAGTGGCACTGTCACACTTAGTCCATAGCGCTGCCGCAGTGCTTTAAAACATTATAACGTTAAGCTTATGACGTGTAGTCTTTTGCCCACGACTTTAGTCTCGACGGTTTAGTTTTGAGTTCAGAAATAAGAAAATTCCATTAAAGCTTTCATCCCGTAATTTACCCCCTTAGGGGTCGAATTTCTTAAAATCCCGTACTTCCTACGTCCTACGTCCTACGTACCTACGTCAGAAAAAAGAAGCCGCATGCAAAATTTGAAACTCCTAGCACTTGCAGTAACGAAGTTTCATGCATACTTTCATCATCATTCTTTCATTTCTAAGTGCTCCTCTACACTCCCTAAGGAATCTTCATTTCAACTTTCTACGCTTAGTAGTTTCGGCTGTACATTTTCTGTCAGTCAGTCAGTCACTCAGTAACGCAAAAAATAAATTGTTGCTTAAAAACGGTTAGCGAGCCCAGTAATAATTTTTTTAAAACTATGAAAGCATCAAACTATGTTTTATGTACTACGACGAAAACTATTGTGGTCATTTTATGTAGAGCAAATTGATATGGACTTACAAGTTTGATGTTTTTGATTCCTATCACGAAGAATTGCTAACCAAAATATTTGATATGAAGTTCAACTTGATATTTCTATTCGATAGACAAAACTTTTAATTTTTAAGTTGAAAACCCTTAACATGTTTATAACTTGTTAAATATTTAGTCTCTAATTTATTTTTTTATTTATTAATGAAAAAAACGTTAAAAATATGTATTTATGACTGAACAGAAAAAATATTTCGTATACTTATCCGATCACAAACTAAACCACCCCGGCTTACATGTAGGTGAGTTCCAAATAGACATTATTTATTCATAAAACAAAATGCTTAAAAAATCCACTTGGTCCCTGGTACCCTGAGATGGGAAAGCATTTTGTATTAAGAATAATTTTCAGTATGGCAAAATTAATCAAAATATAATAATTAGAACAAAATTCTCATCTTTATCGAAAGTTTCAATATTTGTTACAATATTTATGTCGGCTGTTTGGGTGGATGTCTGAACATTGATAAGAATACGCTCTTTAGTAGCGAAAATAACAAACAAGTGCTTGAAAGATTCGTCAGTCCTGTTAGGTCCTGGGTAGCTCAGCGGTTAGAGCAGTCGCCCGGATTGCGAAAGGTCGTGGGTTCGTTTCCCATCTCAGGGTGCCAGGGATCAAGTCGATTTTTTAAGCATTTTGTATTAAGAATAATTTTCAGTATGGCATTGTGAATGCAAAATTAATCAAAATATAATAATTAGACATTATTTGTTTCCTTTCAATAATTATTATAGTTATACTTCAGTAAATTATTACGTCACTGTACGAAAATCCATTTGCTAGTTCAAAATCTATCTCATAACAACAGATGGGATAAAATGGATTTTGTTTTAGGTCTCAAATTAATGGTCAAAAAAATAATATGTCATTACTAAAAAGATGAAAAATGTAGAGTCGTTTTGCTTCAACCGCCTGCCGCCCGCAGCGGACATATTTCCATTTATGGTGGAACAACTGAATTTTATTGGTACGCATCAAATAGAAAATATGTAACGCTTAAGTCGGTAGCCGGTCCCGCAACGTCCGTCCACGGATCGCCATCTAAAAATACTCGTTTCCCCGACTTGGCATTCGTGTTCCACGGGCAGGATAATGACTCACGGCTCCACGAGGCGAGAGTGCAATACAAAAGCTTGAATGTGTCTTAGACAATAGACGAGTGTTCAACGCGGAAGGTTACTGGCGCAACACCTATGTAATATTTAAACATTTCATTTTCACCTCTGTAACGCAGAAAATGATTATGTTGCGATGATGATTCTTTCAAATTCATATAAATTCATGTATTTTTTCTTTTTGATTTCACACAGGTCTTACCGAGAATGGAACTCTATTTACACGTTAGTTAATGCTATCGATTTTAAATAAATTGTATTCATTCATTAGCTTGTATGTATATTCTTTTATAGTTTCTGTTATTGCACGGCTTTGTTTATTTCAGAAGACGAGCTTGATATAGTATATACCAGGAAATGTTTTTCCCTCGTTTAAAAGAATGCTTAAATTAATTATTAAATCTTGTTAATTGTTACTGCCTTCTTTATACACCATAATATCATGTCCCATGAATACTTATGTTGTTGTGTATTATGTGTTTTTGATACTCACAACTATATGTTATGTAAGTTAAATGAATTTCATACTGCAACGCACCACCACAGATATTATAATGCACTCCGATGCACACGGCGATTAAATAAAAGCACTGGAGAGCTACTGTGTTTCTACGAAAACTAAATTTTGAATCAATTCAAAACATCCTGTGTTCGGATAAGCTAATTGAAACCCGTTGCAAACGTTTACATATGTATAGCAATAAAATATGCTTAATTTATATACTATTAAAATAACTAAGCTTGACGTGTGAAATTCATCTTAGTAAATTTGTAATCACTAATTTAATTGTTTATTACTTAATTTAATAAGGTGGTAATTGTCGCTACGGTACGGTACGTTCTTAATTTCTCCATGACAACCTTTCCGGTTTTCTTTCAAGTTTAAAAGTAAATTAGTTTTCAAAACTTAATATACAAATAATATTCTATTTGTACATTTTCGTATTTGTATTGATATCTAATTTTAGATCTTTTCAAATTTCAGTTTTTTAATATGTTAGTTAAAAAGAACGGAAATGATTGTCTTTTATCCATTCGTTTCCTGCAAAAATCAACTTTTGCTAGAATCACCATCTTGATGTTTAGTGCTTTCGTTTTTTTTAATACTTCCTCGTTAAATACAAATTAAATTTAAAATGCACTTATTTATTCAGCCAGCTCAGTCAATGAAGGCAAAAAGGAGAGGCTGTGCAATTTTTTACTAAAAAAAATCTAGATTCAAGTTCTATTCTCTCTACTGCAAGTTAACCTTGTATCGGTAGTTACTTTTATGGGCGTACCCAGGTAGGACCATTCGATATAGTATGCTGTTAGCGATGCAATAGAATTTAAATCTCCCGCGAAACCGTCGCATCTCGTAGTTTCCGCTCCCGACGATACAATCAGAGCCATCAAGGATTAAAGCCGAATATAATTTGGAGAAAACAACATCTATGATGAGCTGCAACAACTTTTGATATAGAGTAAAAGAATAATCCAAGTCAAAGTTATTAATTGCTGCTTGGCAAAATTGTTCACAAACTGGAAAAGTTACAATAAATTCTCCTTCTCATATTTCCAAGGAAAAAATTATAAATTCAATCAGCTATTGTATATTTCCATTTTGAAAATTGAGATTCCTGGAATTAGACTCATTAGCTTTGTATGTGATCCTCCAAGTATGTTTTTTGTTAATAAAATTACCAAAATTATATAAAATTATAAATTAGTAGTGATGGTTCAAAACCACCAGCAAAATTATAGAATTAATATCTTCAAGAATTATATGCAATGAGTGACGCGAATAATATTTGTATTTATTTCAGGTCCGCTGACAGTTACTATTAGAAATTGTAATTACGTATCTATGGAAGGCGACGCTTTCTCCTGGTTGCTGAAGATCAGCATCAGCAACGTTCGAAATCTCATACTGAGTACGGGCTCCTTTACATTGGATCCTACAGCGGCCAACGTAGGGGAGCATGGCCCGGGCATGTCGGTCAGTATAGAATTTTTTATTAACCTATTTAGGTATAAGCTAAGCTGTAAGCATTGCAGTTGCGAATTTCATATCTGCAACGCGAATAATAATTACATCATATGCTGCTGCTGTGACATAAATTAACTTCACCGATTTAAGTAGAAAAAGTCTTGACCGGTTTATTTATATATAAGGATCACAAACAGCTGTTACAAACGTATGGGCAATTTTTGTAACATATTTGTTATTTATGCCTTTATGTTTATAGTTGTTATACTGAAAGTTATTACATTTTATGTAACTAATTTAAATGCCATATGTATTTTAAAAAATTTCTGTAATAATATTTTCCCAATTTTTTTCCAGTCTGCAAAGCGTAATATTTTTTAGATTAGTGTAATTGTTAAATATTTATAAGTTAAAATGATTCATATTTTCGAAACATATAACAGAAACCTGTTTTTTGACTTGTAGGACACAACCCTATTGTTCAAAGTTTACAATTGTTTTTGTCAAAGAAGGAAGCTACGTTTCACCGTATATTTTTTAATTTTTGTGGGCACTATCACTGCTTTTGCCTGCTGCTTAGAACATAATGTAGTAAGGTTACCTAACTAATGTCATCATATCTTAACACTGTTTTTCCAAAATTTGATTTGGATCACGACTTGAAGATTTCTGCGATTGATAGGTATTTTCCCTCTCATAGCTAGGATAGGACAGTTTGCTGCATTTGTTGGGATTTATAAATACGAGATTTTTGGCAATTCTTTAAATACCGTTATGTTTATCATCCTTTTTTGTGAACGCAAAGGAATATTAAATTCATTCGAAACAAAATTAAATACATAAGTAGACATGTAGTGTATCACAGTAAAAAAAACTTAAATTGTAAATGAAATCTTCGAATGAAAGGCTTTATTATTATTATTATTATCTGTGATTTCTCAGCTTGAAGCTGGTTAGTTTTATGTGATAACGGGCACTAGCCAAGTTATTACATTATTAAATATCTTAAATCTTTTTTATGTTCTTCGCACTGCACTTTCTGACGATGCGGCACGTATTCAGAATGGTGGCTTTCTATAATATGTTGATGGTATTTTCACTCAGATCTATTGATTTCACGTGTCGTATAGTTTGATGTGGTACTACCCCAATGGTCGATATGACTATAGGTACTATACTGGGTGGAACAGAACGACCGACACTCCCGAGGTTCCTGGAGAGTACTATTTGTCTTTAATATGATGTAAAAAAATTATAGGTCTAGGTCAAATAGTTTCGGAGATATTAGATTACAAAGTTTTTGAAAAAAAATGAGTGTTTTCAACCCTGAGTCAGCTGTTTTTGGGACGTACTAAGGAAAAGTTTTAAATCGGTCATTGACTTCTTCATTTCTAAAAACGAAATAAACTAGTTTGTGATTTATAAGACTGCTTTCATGCAAATTCTTCCAGGTATTGATAAACAAGGCAGTCAAAATGCTTAAATCGATTTACAGACTAACAGCCGGTTTCTGATTTGAAAAAAGTAGAAAATTTCTACTGCTTATTCTCAATAACCTGAGTTTTTTTTTAATTTCACATGTCAAATAGTCCTAGTTTTATCAAACTGCTATCAACTGATCATCAAAAAACTAAAATCGGAAACGAAAACTAAGTGATGTTAGTTTGAGACGTTTAACTTTAAATTCTCAATTAAGAAACCGAGTGTAAAATTTCCTAAATTATTGTAGAGAGATCAGCCTAACATTAACCTACGTTATTTTAAAAGAGCAATTCTCAAAAAAAAAATGTTTGAATGGGGTAATACTCCTTTAACAACGGAATCGTTAATTAAACTCGATAAACTCACAAATCTTCCAGCGATTCATCATTAACACAAATGAACTTTGTTTTAAAATCATTGAGGACTTTGTTAATAAAATAGCATTTAAAAAGAACATTAAAAAATGCGTGCTATCAAAAGACGACAAAATAATGTGAACCGAGTTCGTCCCTCGATATCAAAGCCCCACCCGCCCGCCAGCCGCCAGGTAGCTTCATTATTCTGTCGATATTTTCCGGCCGCTCAGTCGCCATCGACCTTTTGCGCTGGAGTGTCGTTGCGCATCGCCGCCGACGCACCGCTGCGAAGCGTTTTTTTTTGACGATTTTTGTTTTGTTCTAGTGCATTTTTAATTGAATTTTTGTTAATAAGGTACTAGAGTGTTCGTCTTGAGTGTTAAGTTTAGTTAAGTGAAGATTGTGTTTAGTTTTGTGTGAAATGTGATGTGTTTTGCGCGTGCATACACTGGCATGTAAAAGAGCGTGCTTAGCTGTCTTCAGCGAAGAATTGAACATTTTCAGCATCGACTATCATTAAGATATCGGTAAATAATTAAATTAAATTAATGTATTTCGCGGTCCGTTGTTTTCTGCGCACAATGGATATTGCGCATGCGCGTTATAGGGCTCTCAACATTTAGAAATTTAAAATTTTTACTCCATTTTTACACCTCCTCTATTTTGAAATATTTTTCATATAAAATAAACGTTTGCATGTAACCTAACTTGAAACTTTTGGCTGTGTCGGTCATTTTGTTGCTCCCTGTATATACTTTATCTTATTTCCAGATTCTTATAATTTCATCTTTTAGGTCTGCGTTATTACTTAATTTTTCTGATAAAGATTTTTGGATGTTATGGGTGTTAGGTACAGCGATGTCTATCAGGTAGGCAGTTTTATTTGCTTTATCTTGAAGCGTTATGTCTGGTCTATTGAAAAGTATAGTTTTATCAGTAAGAATGGCGCGATCATAGTATAATTTAAATAGTGCATTTTCTAAAACTGTTTGAGGTAAATATTTATAATAAAGGATATTTGGTTCTGACAACAGTTTGTTTGTGTGCTAATTTTTGATGAATCACGTTTGCTAATTGATTGTGTCTATATGTGTTGGATAGTTTCAGATTGAGTAAAGCATCTGCGACATTTATCGTTTGTAAGTGTAGGGTCCTTGATTATAAACTTTCTATAGTTTATTATTATTATTATGTTTTTTTTCTCTCAGCAAATGTTGGTTGTGAGAGCTGACTACGGGCTAGGCCAGATTAGTCGGCTCTTTGTGTACTGTTGCGGGTGTTTGTGTGGTGGATGTGAGAAATCGCCTGACTAAGGAGCAAGTGTCGATAATGATTGATCTCTGTAGTGAAATATACGTATTTTGTGTAGGTCTGGTTCTTTTAGTGATGTGTGGAGTGATTTTGGGATAAAACCTGTTGATGAGAGTACAATGGGAATTATTTTCACAGTATGTTAATGCCACATTTGACGTATATGTATCGACGGCCAGCGGGATGTATTTTTGAATTTTTTCGGTATATTTTATTATTATGTATTATTATTCAGAATACTTGCTAATTAAATAAAATATGAATTTCAGATAGAGTTGAGAAACGCAACAGTTCCAGAGTTTCCGTCAAACACATTCGGATCGTCGGCAGCCGAAATACTGCTGGATTCATTGACAGTGCGCGCCGTGCGATCGGCTGCCTTCTCAGCTAACACGTACAATGTAGTCAAAGTCACCGGTTGTACATTCCACCTCATTCAAGGAGAGGCTTTTTCCCAAAAATCTCTAATAAATAATCTACAAATACAGGGCTCTAAAATACATGACCTGTGCTCCAAAGCCCTGCAATCTGCTATTACGAAACTCAGCATTTCTCATACTAGGTATGTTCATATATTTTCGTCTCTTTTTCTAGATAAAATAATGATAATGAATTATTAATTAATTCAGCACAGAAAAGTTGGCAAAGAAATAATTTCAAAGTGTATGCTTGTTAGTACCTATCGAAAGCTTCAAAACCACTAGCCGATTTTTAATTCTTTCACCTACGGGAAGCTATATCATATGCGGGTGACATAGGCTATGAAATATATAATAATGTAATGCTACGACTAAAACCTTAAAGTAACTACATATTCTGTAATTATTAAAATATATTCTATCATCAAATGATAAAGTAGAATCTTTTATAATTTATAAAATGAATATCTACAATTTAAATAGTATTTTAAAAATTTTAAAATTGCGTCTTCTATGTTCACACGCACTACTCACTAAATATAAGATAAACGAGAATAGTCTAGTGAACACAAAACCTGTTAAGTGCCGAAACGTCTGGAAAATAAAACAATTTTTCTAAATACATGTAATATTATTTAATATTCATAAAATCTCATTTCCAGATTTGAAACCATCCAACCTGGAGCTATCAATACCACAGTAGCTTCAGTGAGCTTTACTGACTGCGAATTTTTTAAATTCATGAGAAGAGGTTTCGTGTTATCTTCATGGAATAACCTGAATATGGAACGAAACAAATTTGCCGGGTTAGAAGAGTATGCCATAATAGCTCCTACCACGACCGTAAATGATTTGTCTTTTGTTGAGAATGAAATTGATAATCTGGGCGCAAACAGTCTGACATTCATAGGTCAAGCTTATGCGAGTCGATACGCAATGAACGTTATGTACCTCAACAATTTCTATGGAGAACCGTGTAATTGCAACATAAGCCTGTGGCTTGCGAGCGCTATGGGTTCTCCAAATGGGGAACCATATGAACGAGAGAGTCACTGCACAGTAGATAAATTTTTTGCCCGATGCTTCAATGAACCTGAGCAAAATATCCGTTTCGAAAAGTTTATCGATAAAGTGTGTAGTGACAAATCAATCATTCAATGTGAAGGGTATAAAACGAAGACTCAAGGCAAACCAACGGAAATAAAAAATCCAAGATTTCCGCCTAAGAATGAAGACTCACTATCGGAGAGAGATAAAAAAGTGATAGGCATTGTCGTAGTGACTGCTTTAGGATGCATCATTATAGTAATGTTAATAAGTTTCATACGTTGTATGAAACGGCGAGGTTATTGCACAAACTTAAAGAATTTACTATTGTCTGACTCGAGATGTGGGTGTCTTTGTGATCGGTTATGCGGTTGTGGAACACATAGCGGACTGGATAATGCTCAATCCATATCTCAAATATCAGTGAATGAATATTCAGAACGTAGGTGTCTAAACGAACCAAATATGCAAGAGATTGCACTTGAGACAGTCCCTCCGGCTATGCTTTCTGTAGAAGTTACTAATACCCCAATGGATGACAAAATCACACAAACTCTTCCCGAAGAATTGACAAAGGAACTACTGGAAAATTTAAAAGAAAAGCTTGAAGATCCTGAAAATTATGTAGAAGCCCGTGAAATGATAGAACATCTTTATGAATTAGTAAAAGTCGAAGAGAGCTGCAATACTAATAGTTCAACTATCCCAAAAGCCGAGGAAAACATATATGAATTGCCATTCCAGAATACTACGCCCCGAATAGGAAAAAATAAGAAGCAGATGATAAGTGTTGGAACAAGGACACCATCTCTAGATAAATTACAACCGCTTTCACCATACAACAGACAAACGGCATTAGCTCACGAGTACTTTGAACCCAAAGATTTCGCAGTACATTTATATGCAGAGATAGCTAATTGTGATAAAGAAAAACGATCTTTGCTAGGAGCTATTCCTGATATCGTCGAACAAGTTGTGCCCAGGGGACCTTATCTGCGCGCCATTCATGCTAAAAATTCTATTCCGTGTACTTCTCCGTCATCTAAATCGTATAATAGTACTACAAAGAGTCCAAGTACCACGAGTGGCGGTGTCACTAGCTCGATGTTGAATTCCTCTACGGTGAAATCCAATAAATCAACGGGTTCCGGTTCTTCTGGTAAAATGGTCAACCGACCTTTGCCAGAAAAACCAATAAATTTGAATGCGAATGACGGTACTGCTGTCTCATTCAAAGTCAAATAAAGAAAAAGATTCAGATCGCGGAATAACCGAATATAAGGTCTTGTGAGCCATGGTTCATTACAATAGACGAACTCGTGACAGAGCTGCCAGCGCTCCTGACCAGAGTTATGCGATTAATTTGCTGTGATATTAATTTTGATTATTTTATCTCAATCTTTGAATGTATGTGTCATGCCAGACACCTATTTAAGATTTATTTGTAAATATTTTGAGTTATTTTTAAGGCCCCATAGCCATAACGTGCCACCCATTAACGTTATATAATGCTTCGTTTATTTGTGCTTTATATTATAGAATAGATAGAAATCAAATCTACATTTATATTAGATAAATCTTTAAAAAACCGTAAATATTGAACGTTGTGTGAACATTGACTATGATTATAAAAACTCAAATCACTTTTTAACAGACGGCTTAACTTTTTAATCATTGGATATTTGATTACTTTGAGTGTATTCAAATTTAACATAACCTTATTATATGTATCATGTTTAGTCACTATGGTGATATTAACTTTTTTCGTCCCAGAGGTTAGTGATTTTTTATTTTATTTTTCCTATAGACCAATAATAAGGTAAATTTTGTTTGTAATGTAATTAATGTAATGTAATGCTATACCAGCCCTTATAAAGACTACGCTAGGTTTTCTTTCGTTAAAAAGTTATTTAATATTTGTTATATTATGAAAGAGAAACTGTACATCTAATCTGCCGCTCAATGGGCATTTACTTTATGTTTAAAGTTCTATTTATTTTTTTACTGCCATCTCAGAGCATTGTTAATGACGTGGTTGACTATTTAAGATAAATACTATAAAGAGTGTTATTATATCTAAATAATGGAAACATTTTATATACTCGTAATAAGATCAAACTAAATATTAATAGTGTGTAAAAAGCTGCAAAACTTCTTTTAACTATATATCTTTCGATTCGATTTATGAATTAAATATCGAATTTTCCATTTCCCAATATCTTAAATATTGGATTAATTAGTAACTTCATTATAGTTTGCGTGCGTGTTAACGTACTTAAATCGATTAAAAATATATATTAATATCTATGTGGAAAATAATATCGTAAATTTAAAGTTAGTCATTTGATTACATTCGACATGGATGTCGGTAGATTTGGATGTTATTTAATAAAATAAATTATGACACCTTTTGGGAGAAGTCACTTTTTGGTGTTAAGCTTTAAACGCTATTTATAACGGTAACGTAACAGTCAATGTAATGTCACATATTAGTAAATGTGTAGTTATAATCAATCACGCCATGCGTAATAATAATGATAAATAAATCAAAGAATGTTCTTATTGAATGTGTAGTAGTAACCACGCCATGTGTAAGAATTTTATGTTAATCGATGAATGTTCTTGAAAATAAATGTTGATTGTGATTATGGCATATTTATTTTAAATGTTTTGGTTACATCCAATGTTCTGAGGTTTTTTTTTAAGTGAATGCTGGTGATCGAATGAATTTATCAAATTCTTTGGAACAATATTGGATTGTTGCGATTTATTAAACCAAAGTAATTACTGAAACCAATACCCTAAACGAAAGTGAAAACCCTAAAGCACCTGCACTTCTTAGGAAGGCTTGACTGAGGTAACACAGCAACACACACAAAACGCACACAAAAATTGGAGCAATCTTTTTAAGCACACAAAAATTGGAGTCCCCTAACCTAACTATTCTACAGCCAAATTGGATGATGAACGTTTACTTACAAAGCGTTGCTTAGCAATCAGTGACAGGCAGATATTAATAAACTTATAAGGTTTTGAAAATGAACTTATCCCTGTAATTTAATGTGCAATGTCTTAATATTACAAGGAACATGTCATGTGTAATATCAGATTTCTGCCCCGGTTGGAAAAAATCCGTAGTTCCGGACTTGACGACACCTTTATATATTAGGACCTTACATATGAAATTGGTGTTGGTATGGGAGGAACAAAATGTCGAAGATTTTTTAATATAATATATTTATTTAATCAAAGTATAAACCATTATTATCTATGCACTTTTGCCATCTAATAGGTTCATTGATCCCCTTATTAAAAAAAACCATTCGGACGGGAATCAATAAAATCTTTGAAGGCGATTTGCACTGCCCCATCGGAGTTGAATTTTTAAAAAACTGGTGCCACGGTGGAGCTCCTACTCGTAAATAACACGATATTTCAAGATTTCCATTTATTATAGTAGGGGAGCCCAAGCGGGGATTTCGGGATTTACTAAAGCGCGGCAGATTAATATACAGGGGGATACCTTGTACCCAGTTAAGTACCTGGACCAAGTATGAGCCCTATAAAAATGGCCGCCCGGCAAGGACGAAGGATCAGATTAGTAAAAAAAAAATTGATCATCTGAAAATCTCGAGCGCGTCAGATTAAGGTAAGGTGAGCTAGTTACATGCTAAAATGTGTACATACCTCTAATCTGACAATTTGAGAGTGACGTAAAGAAGGGGGAAGGCTACAAAGTTGTAAAAAAAACGTCACTTTGACATTCTCGAGCGTGGCTAATTTTTTTTTATTTTGAAGGGAATCATTCAAGGATTACGAAAAATATATAATCTGACGATTGTCACAAGCCGAAGTAATAAAAATTCATCGATAAGATTTAATGCGTTTAAGCTACGTGATACCTATATTTCCTTCTCCGCATCACTATTTCTCTCTCTTTTTCTATCTATTACTCTCTCACTCCGTCCCCACTCTGGTTTCGGTTGCCATGACGCCATGACAGCTGATGACACAGACTCGTTCGTGGCGTGATATTGTTTACATCGTATTTCCAACGTTTTTGCTTATTTTGTTATTTTAATGTAAATTTTGTGAATTAAACTTTTTACATATTTACTAAGAGAAGAAGAGGAAGATGATTCTAGCGATGAAGATGATAATTAATAAAAAATACTGTAAAAATTAAATTTTCTATATAATCATTTTCTTATAAATATAAGTATTTTACATAAAAAAACATACACTTTTTTATTTGCATGCTAACACCGGTGCTTTTCTATTTAATTAAGCGCAATGAATTTTAAAAAAAATTTTTTAGTGTCAGTTTAAGTAAATCCCTTCAGATAATCGTCAGATTATGAGATATCACGTCTGGGGCATAAAGATGAACCATATATATCTTAATCTGACGCGCTTGAGTATTTCAAAATGGCGATTTTTTTTTGCACATTCTAATAATGGTCACGCGTTTGCGTCACATCCAAATCGTCAGATTATTATATGAGAGCTTTTTTTAGGTTCACTTGACATCCCCTCAAAAAATCTGACGCGCTCGATTAATTTTTTTTTTCATTTTCAACCCTTACGTATAACCACCCCCATCATGGAAACGATCAGATTAACATACGACAGTTTTTAAAAATGCGTAGAACATGGATGATATTAATATCTGACGCGCTCGAGTATGTCCATACAACAGTTTTTTTTTACATTTTTAAAAATCTATAGCCGCTTCCCCCACCGATGAAAAGGTATATATTATATGATTTTTTTTTGTTATCATCTAAGCTTCGCAACCCAATAGGTCTCTATGACGCTCGAGTAAATCCCGATTTAGCATCGTGGGCTCCCCTAGTATTATACTATACTCCATTCATTATAGCATTAGATAGAAGTTAAATAAGGTTCTTTTTATGGTATACTTTGTGACAAAATATAAATGATCATGTTACTCTTAAGACTGACGGCTAATTTGCTACATATCCACTTAAATACCAGCTGCTATACTTTAAGCTGTTGTCATTTAAGCTATTTATTAAACAAATTTATGAGTATATGACTATTTTAAATGATTTAATAACTATTACAATAAAAAGTGTTCATCGTAAAGAACCTAAAGAAGCAGGGTTGGATAGTTTCGGCACGATTCTCATGTCACTATAACTCTACAAAATTTAAAACGTTGCCTAATTCCTACAAACGTTTTGGCAGTACAGCTTTATTATTTTGTCTATTCATAATTGTCAAAATATATAATCTGGGATTGTGAATGCTACTGCCTTTCTTGTTGTTTTGCCGTTTTCCGTGATTAAGTTGATATTGTTTTATTTTTGTTTTCTAAGTTTTGTTAAATATGGACGATGCCGGTGCAGGCCCGAGTGGCCTACAAAAATTACGCTCTAAGCCCACATACCTACCCTCAACCTTTGACATTTCAGGAAGTTTTTCCAATGTCTTCATTAATAGTCTAAATAATTACACTTACAGTTAGAATTTATCAAAACAACAGACAGATAGTTTCAGTTTTAGTTTCATGTTGGCTTGGGAGTAAAAGATGAATTTATAAAATGCTGGCCTCATCTCAACCCCGAGGTATCGTAAAAAATGGAAAATTGCCCAGCTCTTTTAGACTACCTAACGTTCAAAATTTCAACACAAACTAATATATATTTTTTTTAAATTATGTTGAAAATAAAATGTTCTGCACTGCTGCTTCTATGACCCTCTTTTTTCTAATGTTATAATGAATAGAGTAAAGGTGACGTAAATAGGACAAACAAAAAAAACGAATGCCACCTAACGCAACACAAATACATGTGTAAATGCCTGTATAAATTTGAATTTGGTATTTCCAACCAAGGAGGAGAAATTTATGATTAAAGTGGCCAGTACGACAAAACGCCAATGTCATATGTAAGCACCTAATATATATATTAGGTATAATCTTTGTAAATTATTTTTAAATTTCTATTTATTTTATTTATAACATAAGTTTTTTTTGGTACCGTTATCTTGGCGAACTTTTCCATTTGATACTCATACTAAGAGAATGCATAAAGATAACTTGTCCCCCATATTTGATCTATAATGAAATAATATATTATTTTCATATTTTTCTTAGCAAACCCTTTCATTTCATACCTATATCATGATAACAGTACACAAAAAATACTAGATTTAACTTAGCTAAAAATGATACAGCATGGTTGCATTGTCATCTTAACTAAAAATGATACAGCTTAATCGGTTGAGGATAACTACTTTAAAAGGAGAACTTTTTTTGGTATGAAGACTGGTACTTTATTCAAATTATCTCTTACCAAGCATAAAGTATATATTAATCGATAGAGGGATAATAAACCTTACTTATAATCATTTTATTTTATTTTTAGGCGCCAACAAAATGTTTATTTTCTGTTTGAACATCATTTGGTGGATAATTTATAATTTATGTAGCAATACATAAGTGCATTAAAAAAAATCTATGGCAACCCCATCCCTGAGTTACGTTCCAATTCATGCTGTGAATCAATCTATTTGGACAATGTGGAATTATTATTTTTATTTGCTATTAATTATTATTATTTCTGACCTCTTAATCTCAAATAAATCGAAGCTCGTCAACACAAATTAGGTCCGGTTTGAGTCTTTTCAGTGAGTAGCTTATTTCAATAAACACATAGTAAACAAATTATGAATTCGATTTTCACAATATTGATATGTTTCGTCTACTAGGGACGCTAAGTTATTATAAGGTTCTTTCGGGTAATAGACAAAACAGGCAAATTCAGGATGCCTGAAAGTGACTATTAAACAACAAACCAGGCATTTTGTGTCGGTAAAGTTGACTATTAAACAGGCTTTTGCTGGATAAACATATTTGAATTACAACAAACATATTGCTTTTTGTTTAATTTCATTATCGGAATTTCCCCACTTTCGTAATTACCGAAAGCTAGGCTGTGAACAAAGATCCCTTTGCGTTTGTTTTAATTAACTGCGCTTTATTTTTTTTTACGAGTTTTATGGCTGCGCTTTGCACTGGTGTTTCTAGGAAAACCATACCATTTTTTTAACTTAATTCTCTACAGCGGGTGAACTTTCAGAGCTGAAACTTTGATGAAAGATGAAGGATTGAGTCTAGATGCTATAATAATTTTCTTTCTAGTGGTAAGATTTTTTCGGATTAAAGTACAAAAAAAACATTCTCCTTTAGTTGCATGACAAATAATATTATTATTTACAAAATTTACAAAACTTATACAAAGGTACCATTTAATAGCTAAAAATTTTGAAAATTAACTCCTTTAGATTTGGTACATAGACGTTTCCTAAAATTTTCACCGATTCCCAGTACCTACTTTATCTTCATTCCTGAGATTCCGTGAACATCAGAACCCAAATTCGAATCCACTTAGATGGCCGAATTCACTTCGAAAGTGATATCCGCTTAGCCAATGTATTAATGTTTCGTTAGGGTCAACAGACATGCCGCCACGTATCTTATGTCAGACATGAGCATCTTATTTGGCGCAGAACGTCAGAGAACTAGAAAAGCTCTATGACATAACATATTGTTACCACATTCGGCCTGCGAGTGCCAAGGCTACCGACATTTAAACTGTTGACGTGGTCTCGACTGCATCTGTAAAAGTTAGCATCCACCAGTGCGCAGTAGCGCGTGTTGCCCGTTCTCCGAATATGATTTTACCAATAGAGAAGCCCTTTCTACAGCGTGTTTGGTAATACCTGTACAATCTCGAATATGGCACATACGGTATGATGAATAGAACCCAGAAAAATGATCACTAAGTTTGAAACCCAGCACATGACCTAGATATGTAGCTTTTTTTCTTCGAAGTAAAACTGTACGCTGACAACCCTAAAAACAGCTGTAGTGTTGTATTTGGTCATCGACTCCATGTGCCGAACTAGTTTAAAAAATAACAGAAGTTAAATAAATCTAAAGATAAATGCCTAGAATAAATATGCATCCGAGAGTAATTTATTATTTTAAAAACAAAGAAAAAGTTAGTAGTAAATGACTTTTAACCATAAAAAAAGCAATCTTGTGATTAACGGTGTTTCAAAAACTATTATTAAGAAAACTTCTCTAATAATACAGTCAAAATAAAAAAGAAATTGCAAATACTTTGATTGAAGTTAGATATCTGCACTTTGCTCAAACTAGTCTATGCAAGAAGGAGCGACAGAGACATAAAATTGACGACGATGTGTATTGAGAAACTCGGGTTTCTGATGTGTCAGTAAGGTTCTGTAGATTAATTGCTTTGAAGTTTTGTTATTTTTTTCATAAAGCAGTGTTATTTTCACGAAGTAATAAAATACGGACTTATGCGATGATATTAATAATAACGATTTTTTGTTAGGTAGGTTACCTTACACAGAATTTGATGACGCAGAACCCTAAATCGGTGCACTTTTAATTTAGGTACATTGGTGTTCGAGCTGCAATAATTACCTATGTAGTTTTGGTCATCGCTTCGGTCGCGTTTTTAGAATTTAGAAGGTCAACTTACGTTTTCGTTCTTTCGGGACTTTTGGTTTGTTTTTCATACTCGTTGTTTACCTGTGTGTTGTGTTTGTGTGCGGTCAGTGCAATGAGTTCGTACTAAGATGCTTAATGTTAAGAGATGATAATGTGTGTTGGAGCTTGTGACGGTAATCTTGTTGTGGCTCGGCGGCTTTATGACGAGCGCCACGTATCAGGAAGATCTGAAAACCCTCGACGTCTTCCTTTTTACCGGTGCTTCGCGGCACTTGTGAATCGGTGACATACAACTAGTTCAGTCCATAGTGTGATACAGGAAGGCCGGCCGAACACCTATTCCATCGAGACAGAGGATAGGACTTTACGTCGAGAGTAACACAGCTTGTGTCGAGTCGAATGGAGGTGTGTGTTTTATGCAGTGGCCGGCATATCGAGACCTTGGACTGATAAAGTGGAGGTGAAGTGTAGGTAATGTTGACAAGTGAGAGCTGAAAGAGTGATTAGAACGCTGCCTCTAGGTATGTACCTGTTTAATCTTAAATTGTTTTAATTACAAGTAAACTCATACGCAGTCGAGTGCGCGCGTCGGCGACATCAAAGTGTATTCTAGGAAACGAAAGAGGTAATGATAGAGAGAGAGAGATAGAGAGAGAGAAAGCGAGTACGCCGGGGCGGCACGTGTAAGCTTTCAGGGTTGTAGCATATTCATTGAAAACAAATTGTTCAAATATTTTGTATGAAAATCTCAATTTACGTGAAATTGTCTTTTTGACATATTAATTATGTTTTTTGTGCTAGGTTGTATGGCCATGTTTCGATTATACATGTATTTCCAAACATCCTGTATACCTGGCAATGTCCATTCATTGATAGGTCAAATGATGACGATGATGAAACATGAAAAAACCGTAATTCTATTTTGATAATAACATTTGGACTTCATCAAGAGCACACACTCAACTCGATCAATCGACCTCAAAAATATAAATAAACAAAAGATTCCTGTTACGTAAGTAAACGAATAAGATTTAAACACCTCCGCCTGAGAGAGGAAATAGTACCTTACGGTTGTAATATAAAAGCTCGTTATTTTATTGACTATCGTGTAATGTATTTGTTTATTTCAACGCTTAATAAATTTTACTTCCACTAAAGGAGTGCGACTAAATGTATCAGGTCTGAGAAGTTTTGTATATCAGATTTGTGATATTACAAAACTATTCCAACGTTATTCATCATTCAAAATATTTATTGTTATTATCCCTGAAGCCAAACTTATTGACATGTTTTTCTCAAAAGAAATTTGAAAAAAAAAATAACTGTGATGAATCAATACAATTAAAATTTACAATTTATTTATGTATATGTATTGTTTTGTAAATATGCGACCACCCATTAAACAAAACACTATTAAGAAATAAATTGTGACATAGTTAGGCCTAAATAAACTGTAATAAGAAATAAGCGGAATAATATTCCAATAGGACAAAACATCAATTAAAATAGAAAGTTACCTTTATATCACAATAACGCTTAATTTCTCTTCATAAGTTTATGCACTCTTAAAACAATACAGTGGCAAAGTATGTATCCATAAGAATACATATATGGAACATCATCAAAACTTCACAAAAATATATACTACATAATCAAAACTCTAAAAAAACATATACAGTGCTATAACTAAACAAGCTTTAGCGTCAGAGTAAATAAACGTTAAAATTGCAATTTTAGTATTAGTCCAAATTCATATTACACAGAGAATAAGCAAATCTCTAAAAGTAAATATTACTCCCGTGGAATCTCGTACTAGGTTAACATTTGCTAAGTCTCTGTTGAATAATATGAATTTCAACTAATACTAAGTACAGTCTCAGCGTATATTTACTCCAACGCTGAACCTTGTTTACTAATAACACTATTAGATTTTAAGTAACCGGTTAAAATAAAAGGAACCCTGATATTTGAAATGATAACAAAATAACTAATAATAACCTTTGACATTTTTTAATAATGGACACAAAAAAGACCCTCTTCAATTTCAATCTCTGCGATAAAGACACAGCGACAATAAGGACTCAGTTTTACTATAATAATATTGTATCTTTCTATCTATAACATATTCTCAAACCAACGACTGTATCGCCTCATCCTGTTTTATGAAGCCTTAAATGAACTAACCGTCAGCAGATCAATCAGGATTGGTTCGAAATTGGCAAATCCTAGGGTTTGAGTGACCCTAGTCATTGGTCTGTTGAGACTATTAGCCTGACAGATCATTTAGGGCATTATTTTGACAGATCCATCAGGACTTCATTTACATGGTTGGCCTGTAGATCACTCGCGCGATAAGCAGATGGGAATATTTTCCCAAATAATTATTTTATCCTGGTAAGAATATCACTGAACGCGAAAAAATTTCAAAGTTACCCAAAAGAAGGTAGAGATAGACATAAGCGACTGAGAAGATGAAAGAGAATATTTCAATGATCATGAACATGAATTGATAATTTCGTAGATGAAAACCGCGCTGAAAATGGATTGTAAGCTAATTATAATAGAGTAAGGGGAGTGAATTATGAGATGACCGCTAAGAAAAGAAGTGAATTTAAAAAGAGAGCAAATTAAACCTTCCCCAATAAATTGGAAGTTTATTACTACATATTTTGGTTCAATAACAACGCAGTTGTAAAAACTAAAATAACTATTACATTATTGTTTATTTTTTGAATAATAGTGTATTGCGACCGAGACCACGGAGACCAATCCGGCACGGCAGTTTCAATTCAAACAAGACTCAGTCCAACCGTGCAATTAAAAATTTGTTTTTCGCCGTTTAACAAAGGGAGGTAGGTAATAAAATCTCGCTTGTGCTCTATAAATGAAATCCAAGAACCGCAAAACAAAAGCATGATGCCTAACTACCTAATTATTAACATAATGTAATACTATAATATACCACGATGCAAGTTCAACTAACTAGAATTAAGATCTGATTTACATAAAGCATATGGAGGCAGCCAGGTGTGTTAACAATTAAATTTATAATGTTGACGTTATTGCCGTCATCGGTATAATATCAACCTTAGATGAGTCTCAGAGCAAATACACAAACCTCGATAGCTAGCGCTTGAAGGTCGGTCGGGCGCTTGGGCAAAATGCGCGTGCGCACCTCATCGACTCACCGCACCCGCCTGCCGGGTGCCGGCTGCTTGCGTCAGTCGCTAGCGGGGAATCTCGTAACAACACGTGCCTACTGTTAAGTGAATATCGTGACAATCGTATGTTTACTTTACTCACAGGGAAAATTATAGTGATAAGTGACATAAAATCATTTTTTACTTGACATTTTTACTCTCAAATATGCCTAAAGAATACTTCATTCAAGAAAACTCAGATCAGAGGTTTGTACGATTTATATAGTTTTATTATCAGACAAATAAATAGGTTTGGCAGAAAATTAAACTAGGTAATGAGCATAATAATTGTATTAACACATAGTCCTGATTCATCTATATTCAACACATTAGACTTTATTCGCAAATTACAACAAAATAAACAATGTATCTCCTTACAAAAATACCTACCTACGTCAAAAGAATTTTAATTGAACGTACGGATTTCAATTAATAATATATAGGCGCACTTTGAAGGTATTAAAGTTATTCTATATTTGATTATATACCTGTAGAACAAATTTTAAAAAACCCTGAAGCTAATCAAAGTATTTTTCAAATTCAAATTGATACCATATAATAGAGAATTAAACCAAACATGGTTTAATTACATCAGCAAAAATAATTTCCACAATACATTACAATAAATATTAAATTTGAAGGTGAAATTTAAGGTGCATTTCAAAAGCAAGTTCAACAAGTTGAATAATGTCACTGGTGTCCGGGATGTGATCAGTTAGCCACTAACTCAATAAATCAGTTTCATGAAAATGCACCTTGGTATGTCTAATGTGTATAGGGTTGTCAAATATAAAATTGAAATATCAGAGGAAAATAATTAAGATGAGTAAAATAATCCCTACATTTAATTTTAGTGACGTCATCACTGGTTCGGCAACTAATCCTGAAGAGAACAGTTTAAGTGTTTTTTTTTTATAAGTCATTCAAAAATTTCAAATGTAGCAGTCGTATTCCAGTAATATGAATAAATAAACCACATATTTAAAATATTGCGAGGTTACTCTAAAATTAAAGTGACAGTTAATAAAGAACAAACCTGCATCTTTCTGCTGAATAGCTCGGTGGCTAGCGAGTCCAGTCGGCGATTGCAAGTTCAAAACTACTTTCTCAAAGAAATGTGACCAAAAATATATTTTGTTAGCTCCTTCGTAGCGATCGCTTGCGGCTACATTTGCAGTCGTTAGCAACCACCAACCCTTACTGTTCCCGAGTAACGGGTACAATGGGTTATAGCCCGTTCTACCAATTGTTTATATCATAGGGAAGGCCCAATGAAATTTAGAACGTGCGCACTAAAAAACTTGTAATTTTCAAGTTATTTTGTAGTACAGACAGTACATACAAAGAAATGAGGTCTATTGAAAATGAAAAAATGTACATTATTTTTGTAGGGGTCCATCACAGTAAAAAAGTTAAATTCTATTTTTTTTTTCAAAGAAAAAATACCCCTTTTATTTTATCGATTGCTTGGCTAATTATATAAATTCTCCTTTTGGGGTACATTGATAAATTTTGGAACCAAAAACTTTACTGATTTTTTATTTTATTTCGTGCGTTCTTTTGTAGATACCTACATATTTACTACCAGCTTCATTTAGCTGATGATGATGACTGCTGTTAGCTGATATACAGCGAGCATTCTGTAATACGTATATTGAAATATTCACATCATTTAAGTATCTATTCCTTTTTAAATAATGTATTTACCAAGCAAAATCTACCTTATATACATTTTAAAACAAAACTAACAAACCACTGTTTTAACGGTTCACACAATGCGTCTACTGGGCTACCTGTGCTGCATTGCATCTATTGCAACAGTACCCTTCACGAAGTGTAATCAAGGACAGTTAAAGTATGTTTACTTCTTTAGCAAATGCGATAGAGATTTTCATAAAAAATTGAAGAGATATTTTCCTAAGAGTGGAAGGACTGTTATTTTCAATAATGAACTAATGGAGATAATAATAGGCACATTCTGAAACATGTGGTACCTACGATTGAATAACGTGTGCCCTGAGAGAAGCTAATTCGACCGTTTTTATTCAATTAACCTCATTATGAGTAGGTGTGGTCGACTATTATGTATCCATGCCTTAATCTCACGCCGGACTATTCAGATTAACAATCAATATATATAACAATATACAATTCATTATATATAACATTAATACATAACTATAACAATTCATTTAGTATGTTTGTATTTGTCGAATATTCCTCATTTACGTAAATAAATAAAAAATCCGAATAAATTTTTTCCATTAATTCTCAACAGTGTATTTCGCAGCTACGCTAAAATAATAATAAGATTTAAACTCAACGATCCCCGAATCCATACTAATATTACAAATGTGAAAACATCTCTGTCTGTATGTCTGTTACGGGTTCACGCCTAAACAACTTAATCAATTTTAGTGAAATTTGGTACACAGATAGAGTGGAGCTTGGGATACGACTTGGGATATTTTTCCATCGCAAATAGGTTTAAAGAATTTCCATGCAGGCGCAAAGCTGGTATTTATATGTATTATATTACAGATACTAGATGTTACCCACGGCATCTTCTTCATGGTCAAAGGGAAGGGAGTTAATTTCGCTGTAATAAGAAACCCATGTCACTTCTCCACGCAACTATTTTGATACAACAAATCGCACCATAACGAAGCGTCGTTACGTCGTAAAATAAGGACCACACTTTCAAATTGATAATTTTAATATAGCTTAATGCGTTAACGTTAATGTAGACATTATGTTTAACAAAACCGACATAATGTTTAATATGTCGTGGTAGCCTCTAATTTAGTTAATTAATAATATTTTCGAATTCTTTCATCCAAGATGGAAACAAGAAACAATTTGTAATGAAAAAACGAGGCGAACGTAAGATGACTATTAATTCAGTGGGAAGAGATGATTGATCGAGCCAACTGAACAACTTTTGATGCCAATAATTATGACAGGTCCATTTGATGAAACCATTCTGGTAAATAATATAAATTAATTGAGACAAAATATTTAAAAACAATAGTACGAGTACTTACCTGACAAGGTCAAATAAACCAGATAAGTGGAAAATAAAAATCCTAGCATACTGAACTTGATAGAAACTTTCTATATGAATTTATGTTTTACAGTGATACTTCGATGACCACAAAAAAATGTGATTTCCTAAACGAGTTACTTCAAGAACGAAAATAAAGCTTAAGTCAGAAATGACGCAACCCAAGAAGCCTTATAGTGCTATTAATAAAATTGCTTGACAAATTCCGCCTGTTGCTATATGATATTTAAAATTCTTATTCGAGATCTTGTTTTCTGCTGTAACATTATGTTGTAATTCTATGATTTCTAGAATATTTATCGGATAGTATTATCATGAGAAGTAAATATTGTATTTCTCATTAAGTAAAAACGTGACTTTATAAAATTTTCTATACAATAAAATTTACAGTTACACCTAAATTAACATTCAGCCTGTTTCTTTTCGGAATTGATACTCTTTTGCCATAGGAAAAATTTATAAATATGTAAATCATTAGTCGCTTTATAGTCGAGGATTGGGTTTAAGAACCTTTACAATTTGGAATAATTATTTCAAAAATAGAGTTAGACGCCCTATTTAGCGAAATCGACTGTTCTGTTGATTTGGTCGTTTTCTTTTTGCTTTATACTGAAGTGTGAGTACTCCAGACCAATTCAAACCAAATCCAATCTCATCCGAAACGCGTCATTAAAGTATCGAACAAGTTGTTCACTGAACTGCATTTATGTTTCACCTGACAGATAACAATGATATTTAAAAGAAAAGTATATGATTTATAATCTTAAGAAAATAAGCTTCACTGGAATTATCATGATTCTTACTGGCTGGCTTAAAGCCAGACAAACACGAGTTCGCACACGACTTCCGATCTAACTCGCTGACCGTGCATGAAAACAATACTACGATAAAATTTTATGGAAGTAAATTATTATTGTTGAAAGCATGCGTGTAGACGATAAGGGGTAGGCTGATCGAATTAATGAAACCTGGTACTGGTAGAGCAAGCACTTCGACAACAAGAATACGAGACCGCGAATAAGACTGCTCTAGAAATGCGACTTAGCATTCGCATTTCTAGAACATAACTCACCAATCGTTTTTAATGCTAAAATTACTTTGGTCGTTCGCAATTAACATAGCTCACGGGTAGACACGTCAAGGAGCGTTTGTTTTTTATTTCACTTAACACTTGAATTGGGTGTCTTGTACAAAATAATTTGAGCCTTATGTACCTTACGTTTAAAAGTCAATATTCCATGTATAAGTTACCTGCGACTGTTCAGATACATATTTTCGGTCATCATAATGCAAATATAAGGGAAAACATTGTTTTCCTGGAATCTGTGGTTGTAATTACAATTCGTAAATATTTGTAGTAATAAAACATTATTAAATTTATAACAGATTATTAACGATTAACATATTTTATTTTAATTTACTATAATTTCTAATGTTTTATTGCTCGATATACTGCAAAATGTATAGGGTGTACATTAATAGAATTTGACTGTATAAGATATCCATAGAATACTTTAGTCTATATATATTACTTTAAGCACGTGCGCTAAACAAATAAACTTACACAGTTTAAGTATGAGTACGTATGTATACCTGTATGTTTCTCCACGTATTTCTTGTAAATGAGACATCTGATTACAATTAAAAAAAATGAATATAACTAGATAATAGACAACATCACATACAATGCCCAGACTCCAAGATAAGTAGACTATATTAGTGGTTTTGATTTGAATGATACTGTTTTATTTGATTTTGTTTTTATGTGTTTAGTAAAAATTTATATTCTCTGTGCATAAGAAGATTCACCATGTTACACATTAGATGGAACTTACTGTATATCAAAAATCTTTTTAACAATAGAGAAGCAAGTTAAACGTCACATCATTAATTCAGCACAAGAAACAATTATACAAGTAGTAAATAGGTTTTTGTGTAAAAAAATTAAACTGAATTATTCGAAGGTACATTTCGTTTGCTACTCTGAGTAATCACATATGTAAGCAGTTAAAATTTTACTGTAGATTTTCTAGTCAGCTATTAAAACTTTTTTTACTATAGAAAAAAGATTTTGCTCTCAATTTAGTTCTATGAATATAAACATTAAAAGACATACTTATATGAAGGCGACATAATAAATATTAGAGGTCGTCAACACTCAATGTGAACGCTATCTAGAGATTGCCTTGCTGAAACCGTACCATAGCACCGCGGTTATCTGATAACGAGGTACCGATAACCCGATAGCTTGCTTAGTCAAATCGAATGTATTAACTCTCCTACACGTTTGTTCATTAATTTTGACGCATTTTCACTAAAATATTAGATAAAAGCAAGAACTCTTCCTCATCTAATGATCACAGAAAAGTTATTAGTGTCGTCATGGATTTTTAGCTACACGTAATTAATTTATGTAAGTAAGGAATGCTGTTCTCCGAAAAATGGCGTCGGAACTTTTTATGCACATTTTTTTTTCTAAGCTGTTAAATTTTATGTTCGTATATACAACGACGTAATACTATAATATTAATAAAATTGAATTCTGAAAGAGATTTTCAATTCTCCAAATAAAACATAGCCTACCCAAACAAGATGCAGAGAAATTATATTTTTTTTTCATATTCGTATTGTAAATTAATTTGTCAGAGTATTTATGCCACGACATATTAATCGCTTAATAAAAACATGTGTTTTGTTATTTCTAAAATTAGTATAGTGCAATCATTCTCCAATTCAACGTCTCTGTATAAAATAAAATAGATAAAGCAGCCATTGCTAATTTCTTGCCGGTGCTGATCAGAATAAGGTATCCAGCGGTAGATTTTGAACCGATGCTAATTAATTGATTTTCGGTTTGTTATAGGGCATAAGCACCATATGCAATGGTAACGTAACACAAGATAGTATGCGGTGGTTGAAGTGGCGTGCGGCGCTGGTGTCGTTTCTGACACTGGTGGCTAGTGCGCCTGCGCAGCGCGCGGAACCCACCATATGCGCTGAGGAGTTCTGTCGCTGCGACTCCTTTACGGCAGTCATTTGCAATTGCACTTCCGACTACGTATGTATTGTAATTAAAGTTTTACTAATACACACTGATACTAAATCGCATCATTTATAGATAGCACACAACTAAAAAACGAGTCATAAAAGAATAATAGAAAAAAAACTTTACATAAATAAATAAAATAGAGGTACTTATTTAGTGAAGATGTATGTAATATAAAAGACCCCAAAATCGTTTCATACAAGTTTAAAGGTCGGTTTTTATTTAAAGACAATTTTTGAAATTCATATTTCTGTTTCCGCAAAATGCTTGATCGTATTGATTATATTATAGTTAAAAAAAAATGCTTTAATAAAATCTCAGCTAAACCTATCTGTAGCACTATGTAAATTTGCAATTTAATTTGTAAGTATTTATGAACAATAACAGCTATGATGAATAAAACACAGTTCAATGCCATTATGATTAGTCGATATCACATTAACAATATTGTCGCAGGAGGTGACACTGAGACCTGATGGTGCCTACAGAGTACCATCGACGGCTTCGGGCATAATAATCAACGGATGCTCCCGCGTCAATTTTTTACCTGACCTAGCCAGAAACCTGATACAGTTACGCACTATAGAGTTGACTAACATAATGGACGTAGTCATTAACGAAAGAGCTCTATCATGGTCGCCATTCTCTAGGGAGAGTGAAATGCACCCAGGACTACGAATACTCATACAGAATAGCACTGTTAACCAATTATCGTCTTATGCCATTCAAGGGCGTGTTAATGACATAATTATCACCGACAGCAGAATTCACAATGTGAGACCATATGCATTTTCTAGTCTCACAGGTGTCAGAAATATAGAATTAAAAAATAATGTATTATATAACATAGAACGATATACTTTTAGTAAATTTACAACTATTAACTTCTTATTAAAAGGAGGTTATGTAGACAGACTGCCCAGTAGATTCCTATCGGATGTAGAGATAACGAACTTATTTCGAGTGGAAGGGATATCAGTGAAACATATTTCTAGTGTAACATTTCTTGTCAGATCACCAAAGAGAGTCTTAGTAGAGAGTAATTTTATAGAAAACCTAGATCCTGATGGTTTTCACGTGGTCACAAAGGGACCGATCACTTTTAGAAATAATACGGTAACTAATTTTAGTAAAGGTGCGCTTCTGGGAGTCACCGTGGATCAAGAAGTGATGTCAGTCAAAGGACGGCAGGAGCTACTGGTAGATAACAATACAATAACCAACATAGCACCGTCCTCTTTGATATACAATCAAACGACGCTATCATTACGTGTGGATGGTCTGAATTTGAATATCACTTGCAACTGTGAACTGGCCGAGAACTGGAGACAATTGCTAAAGGAAGAAGCAGGTATCGTGACTTGTTGGTACGATCTAGAAGGTCACTACATGTCCGTCGCAACTTTTGCAGACAGTCGTTGCGGGGCATTTAAGCAAACTTTTTGGATATTCGTTGTGGTCGGTCTAGTGGTGGTTTTGATTGCAGCATCACTCATTACGTATTTCGTAGTGAGACGTGAAAATGAGAAAAAGAAAAAGGTACAGATCGTGATGCCAGATGGTAAAACGTACAGAGAAACTGAATTCCACATTGTAGTGGAAAGAGCAGAGCTGCTTACTACCAACTTATAGAAAACTTTATTTTTCCGGCTCATCTCAGTTATTCTGTGAACTTTGTTTTTTAGCGATCTTGATTGTGTACTCTCATAATGACACTCGCCAAATTGAATTGTGCCAACATTGTAATTGTTACTTTTATCAGTATTATTTAGTATGGTAAACGTACCATAAAAAAGCGAAAATCGTTTTAGTTTTCTATTAATTTATATTTTGTCAATAAAATATGTCAAGTATAACCTTCTGTGTTTACTTTTGCTGGCGGCGTAGTTTGCATATTATTATCAGATATAATGAACACTCATAACCATATGTCATTTTATAGAATTAAATTAAATGGCGAAACAACTTTTCCGAACTTTTCCGAACCATCCGTATTTGTTAAAAAAAGTGACAAACTTAAAACATTGCGAAAGTATAAAACTATTCTGAGTTATATGCACAAAGATCGCAACAAGCGAACCATACGAACGAAAGCGAATTTCTTATCTTATATAGCTTCTGCGAATCACACACATCAAATATTATCTTGAAAGGAGAAACGTGTTTGTTACTTGAATCATCGTATCGTCATCAAAAAGCAATGCGAATACATAGTATAACTTTAACGTTTATTAACATAGATATTATAACTTTATGTCTGGCAAAAACAAGTAAACTAACACAAACATTATATGTTAACAATTTGCACTAATTCAGAATATTATAAATATTCAGTCTTGAGTAAGTTTTTTTAACATGACAAGAGTTTTCTTCTGCGTCATATTTTTCGTCAATTAAGGGCCAGTTTTTTGATTCGTGGTTAACTCAACCATTTGTTAAAATCTTTGACAAATGGTTAAATATCAGAAAAATATGTTTTTTGATTAATAGTTAGCCTAACCAATTGTCAGAATTACAACCATTTGTCAAAAAATTTAACCATCACTGGAAGCTAGGTTAAGTAAATGACCAATGGTTAAAAGTACAGATGTACAACTGCGTTGTATTTACTTGGTTCCTTGTTATTGTTTTTTACGTTGTTTTTATAACCTACATGATTTCATAGTGAATTTGGACATTAGCCATTTTTGGGATTTCGTTTTATGATGCAATTTCATAGGAAAATATTCATTGTAATTTTTGGGTTATAGAGTTATTGAAAATATGTTATATTTTTATCTTGATCATCCTTAGTACATTTGTACGATATAAAATATTTTTTCTTGTTTCCACGGGCATATACCAAATTATTAAAAATCTTATAAAATCCACAAACAGACAACACAAAAGGTAAATATGCCTACAGTACATAAAATATATAGTCCTCGATTTATTTTCCAACATTACAATCCCACCTTAGATACTAGATACTATATTCTTTTCTCGTATTTCTCTATAAGATAAATGAAAAATAAATATATGCTTTTAATAAAAAAGTTAAGTTTAAAATAATTGGAAAAAAATATCTTTGTTGCTTTCTAACATTATTATTGCCTTATATTTCCTGAAAAATAACACATAGTGCACACAACAGAACAACCATTAAGATCCACACTGTTTGATAATCTATAGATTTCTTTTGTCTATTTGATATTTGGAACAAAATCCTAATGTCATAAATGGTATATAGTTCGCTCCGTTCATTCAAACTGTTAGTGTTGTCACTCAGAAGAAAATTACCCATGTCAATATATAGCGAAAAAACGACTCATTGTGCTGGCAACAAATTGGCCAGTGGTTAAATTTGGCTATGGTTTAATTTGGCATCAAAAAACGAAATAGCGAGTTAACCACTTGTTAATGTTTTAACTATAGTCAAGTTAACAAATGGTGAAATGACATTTGACTACGGATCAAAAAACTGGCCCTAAGTGAATATTTACGCTTTTCTAACAACTTTTCACAGTTCGAATGAAGATGAAATAACCCTAAACTAATAACAACGCAATATGTTTTTTTATTCGTTTTATTCGTATTTAAAGTAGTATCTCAAGTTGTTATATTACCTTATACAAACCTCTATTCAACCTTAGTTATTGTGACTGCTATTGAAAACATGCAGTTAAACAATAGAATATATAAGAAAATAAAATCAAACTAATTATGACTGCTGATATGTTTACGGACTTACCTTTGATGAATATCACCTTGAAACAATCTACAGCTAAACATACTTACACGATTAAATAGAGAACCTTCACTAAAAGTCATCTGCATAACATATCCTTTTGTCTTATCCACAGTATTATTGTTATGTCTGATTAAGTTTTTCTGTAATAAAATTAAGACACCATATCGAGTAGATATCTATCTACACCCTATAGCCTATTTTACTCAACTTGGAAGTTTAGTGTACACATACTAAAATAATGTATTTGAATGCAAAAAATTCAGCTGTAACAAATAATTATTAATAAATAGTACCAGCGCGCGAATTACTCTGTGATGTCAGTGAAACAAAATTACGACTAAAGTTGAACATAGTTGAATATTCGGTACGTTATAGTATTATTGCATATTTCCATTTATAATAAAAACTAAACGCACAATGTCTCTATCGCACAATTTTTGTTTGAGTGGCAAAAACATAACCACTCTAACAAAAAAAAACATCGAATTTCTTCTATATGTTATGCTTGGGCGAGACACAACTCAGCAACTATTCTTCTTCAGCTATTGTACAATTATCAAATCATTTTTCAATTCACCGCGAAAAAAAAATGTATAGCTACATTTTTAATGTCTAATTATAAATATAATAATTTATAAACATATTTTATATTATACCGCGATTTACACGATTTATTATTGATATAGTACGCGAACAAGCACATAAAGAGTGTCTAATAGCAAAGTTGCTTGAAAACTATTTATTAATAGTATCTAAGAAATACTTTATACTTTATATGACGTCTTTAGTTATTTTGAAGATACAATTAAAAATCGATTCTATGGTTAGATCTGCATTCTGAGCGTTGCTAGCTATAGACCTGTAATTGTATTGGGCTATGACTCACCGGATGAGAGGATGGCCATCTAAGACCTGATGAATGGTTGGTGGTGATGAAAGCTCGAGACCGCGCGCAAGTAACTGAGCACCAGCTGGCGTCTGAGAGGGCTCCACTTCAGCACCCGACGGATTCGCGCCCATCATAGACAGCAATTGCACCTCCACAACGGTCGCTAAAGAGTGATGAACTGGGTTAAACAAATGACGAGCTCCGCGGTATGTATACATCATGATAGTATCTGAATTCATGGTTTAATTTTCATAAACTTCAGTGGATTTTTTTTAATTTTGCGGACTAAGTAACTTCACTACTCATTACACACAAAATGGGAATGACTATTTCTCTTCTGTATACCGCAGTGTACTTTAGATTTAACGTTAATACTCTTTGCGAAAAGGTAAATGTTTCGCAAAGAGTAATAACGTTTGATTTCAAGAACTAAAACATTGGTTTTTACCATGAATGAAAAATTCTTATGAATAAAACAGTGAACACCTGCACCTTTAAATTCAACACGAGTCTGAGATTCCGCAGGAAATAATTACGAACAATGATTCATCAGACCAAAATTAAATACATCCAGTCTACTTTTACAAATATTAACACAACTATCATTAAGGATATGATGAAAACTTTAGTTGATTGCATAAACAAACTTAATTTGTTAAATGACATTGCAATACATGCCTTGTAAGAGATTTTCAATGATTTCTTTAGCGAAAGGTCATAATTGTTGTATTGTTTCAAGTTGCGGATTATATAGGGTTTATGCAGCCCAGTATCACTGCGACCATTGCTGATCTATTGTGATCTCCACATACTACAGTTCACGGTCAAGATTACATTCTGCAAGAAAATGTAGTATTTTCTTGGCCGTGAGTTTCCCAAGACAGATACACCGTCTTCGGAATAGCGACGGGCAGTCAGTCAAAAGATGCAAGGGTGTTTCTTTATCATCTTTGCATCCTATGCACACTCTACTGCTTCTGATCCCGATGTTGTATCTATTGTCTATTCAGTACATGTGTCTATTCAGTCCACAGTGTCCTGTAAGTGCTCGTACTAATGTGCGAAGGTTGGTTTTGGTTAGGTTTGAGGCCTCTGATGCCGCCTTTTTGTTGAAGGCTTTGATCATAGCTAAAAGTCATAAACACCGAACTATATTATCAGACTAATATGTATGAACTAGAATTTTTAATTGAGTATTTTTTCACTTGAATTAAAGCATTTCTCAATTCCTTTCATATTACATGTATATGTGCGTTTGAAATTATATTTAGCGTCAAAACCTTGAGAATGACCTACAGGAGCGCATTAAAAAATAAAACACTATAATATTACTTCCATTCAAATTTCTGGTTATAATAACTATTCAACACCATATAGTGAAGCAGTTTTACTATAAATGTTTCATCCCTGACGGGTATTATGAATTCCCATTTGATAATCTCATATTCTGCTAGACAGATACAACTATGTATATGGTTCTTATAACTTAAATGAATAGGGATGACGACTGGGTAAAAAAATATATTCTGTACATGAGAGGCTAAATCAAGGTTCTACCTCAGTAGCATAATAATTTATCAACAAATTTCTTTCTTTTGGAGTGTTTTAGCTATTCAAAAATAGACGAAAAATTGTTTTCGGAGAAAATTCCTTCAGGTGTCATGGTAATTTATTTTATCGTATGATGAGAGCGGAGATTTTCGGTCATCTCCGTGACCGTGAAACTGAGTTTTCATTATGTATGTTTTAAACTTCCATTCCCACAAGTGCACCTGATTAGTTAAACTCGTTGAATTATTGAGACTTTTATTTCCAATACCTTTGTATTAATTCTTTGACGATTGAACTAATGGGACTGGTTGTACCCACTAGTACATGAATATTAATCAATCTTTGAAAAGTTTGTATTTAATCGTCCATGCTTAAAATAGGTTTAGTCAATGTAAGAAACATTGTATATCTAAAAATGTCTATAATGTACTTACAGAAATTAAGCGATGGTATCTCCAGATCGGGAGCCAGCAGACGAGAAGCGCATCCGGCAGCTGCGTAAACCAATTCCATCTCTAACGCAACGAGCCCTTGCCTCTGAGAGGTGAAAGGTGCGTCTTCATATCCGACGCATAGACAACGATATCCATAGCGGTTATCTTCACTGTTAACAATGATCATCACCATTTACCTAGTTATTTCCCCACTACTGATGCTGAGGCTTTCTCGTAGGCAAAAGCACACGTAGACCCAATGTGGATTGATAGATGCTAACGGACTGCAGATACGGCCGGAA